TTGCGAATCTTCATCCTCAACTTCAAGATCTTCCATTCCATTTTTCAAATCCTCCTCATCCTCAATCTGCACCGGTCTAGGTTCTACCGTCCTCTGTCGTTTCGGGGTGGGTTCTGTTTCCAAATGCGCTCCATTGAACGAATCGTCGCCATCACTTTTTGCGCCGGCATTCGCAGAGTCGCCATCGCGTTCTTTACGCTTCCTAGTCGGGACATCCATATTTTTAGAACTTGGCATGTTGATATCGGACATAGCTGTAGAAGATACTTTAAGGCGAGGCAAATGGAGCTGGAAAGTTGACCTCGCTTGTTATTTATTTGTAGCCTTGCGCTAAATTTAATTTTGGGTATTGAAGCTGTCTCCGGCTACCTCCAGGCTAGCCTAGGTAGGTAGCTCCAGGGGCAATGACCACATCAAAGCCACACTCAAGCCACACTCAACATCAGCGAAATACCTAACAGGCGGAACCTTGGAACCTTGGAATTGACCACCATTCGAGAAAAAAAACTTCAACAACTAAAGACCTCCAGGTCTCTTCTCAATATAATATCAAATAATAAAAACACTTGATTTCAATACAAAGAAAACTCAAATTTTCGTTTGCTTTTTTCAAATTTCAGTATTCAATTTGAAATGAATTTATAATCTATTGAAAAAGTCCTTTGAAAGGGTACTCAATTTCCGCCTGTTTTTTTCGCTTACGTAGAGCTACACTACATATCTCCATGTCCCTCAAACCAACATCACATAAAAAACCTACTTCCAACCTGCGCCTTTTTTCTAATTCAAATCCACAACTACCAAAGCGAGGATGTTCTCTTAAGAGACTGATTCTGTGATATGGTTCATTCTCGACAATTCAAACTGAATGTAAAAGATATTCAAACTCTTCTACATTGGAGCGAAGCTTGCCATAAGGGTTTATGAGCTCGCCCTCATGATAATATCTCATTTCTTTGGATAGCATACCACCAGTACTCAACTAATCAATCAAGCTAGTTAATAGTTGAAATGGATTATCAGAAAAGGATGCTCCACTGATATTCGTATGATCATTACCCTGCCGTGGAGGCGAAACATACACCCCGAAGCAAGTACGAGCTCGTGTATTGAGCAGTAATCGGACATCAAAATAGGATCACAACTAAGAATGCCGACTACTATCCATTCTCCTCAATTTATACAGTAGAAACAGAATCATAAAATAACAATGGTGCGCCGTCGGAAGCATCATTTGGTATGACGTTACAGCTCTATCTCAATCACGATCATCTTTGTCCACCCTAGGGCTCAACGAACTTGACTGCTTTTTCCAGCGCATCTTCCGCTTCCTTCATGAAACCTAGAATTTTCACCGCACCTAAAATATCATGTGTTGCATTTTAGATTTTCGAAGTCCTATCAACCGTTTGGAAAACTCCACATGTTGATCGTAGAATACTTCCAAGGTGCCAATTGAAATGAAACGAGTATCTGGAATTTTGAACTTGTTTCCTGCTAGGAACTCATATAGATGGTTTCTGTTTTATCCTGGGGGTAAATATCGGCTTGCAATACATTCTAGAATCAACCCTAACATGTAACCTGTCTTGTCGTTTTGATGGCTGTTCAATATCATTCCGTTAGACACCAAATCTATTCATGGACTCCAGAAAACTCCGACTCTTGGTAAAGGCAACCTTCCTTTCTCCTCACTGCTAGTTAGATTGCGTGCTACTCCCAAGAAAACTTGAGCACTTGTAAATTTGCCAGATAAAACAATATCTTCGAGTCAAACATTGAGTCATTGTGAACGTAGGAGTATGCTGTCAAGCCATCCTGCAGAACAGCTGTAAAACACGCTATCTTATCAACTACAAAACGATATTGTATTATAGAACTGACAATTTAGATGCTTGAGAAGAACTCCAGGCTTCTACGTGCTATCTACGAATCGATAACTACTAAGAACATAGCCACCGTCTAAATGAATAGCTAGTCGCTCTGGCATGTCTTTCGCGGGAATGGAATTAATGGTGTGGGACACTAGGCTGCACTGATTGTGACGAGACTGACATTATGTTAATTAGCCAGTCCACTTTATGTCGAGGGCATTGTGAGAGTGGACTATATAATGACAAAAGAGTCTTACCGGAGTCACGGATCTGGTGGTGCGGTAAAAGACTCGCATAGGCCACCAAATGAGAGAAACATGCAAATCAACAGCTGAATCGTGGATTCAATCACGAATTTGGAGAGATGATCTTGGATTTAATAGAAAGAGAACCATGCCAGTTAAATCGGTAATGCAATGTCCAATAGTCAAAACGTGATAGAGAAGTTAGTATGCCTAAAGATGAAACAAGCTTAGATTGGATGCAGCGAGAATTACCACGCTTCAAGCCCTCAGCAACTGACAATTCGTGCTATTAGTCTATATAGATAGATGTTAGACATAGATCGTCTCCATGTGGTGAAGAAAAGCTAAAACGTATACGAGATCCTATGGTGACCTAACCATGGTGCCAAAATCTTAACTCCAAGGTTCAAGTAGGTGCTATCAAGCTTAATCTATTCTTCTGTGGAGTCACAGCCGGCTTGAATTCTTCTAGTTTCATGGTCTTTGGCTCAATATTTCGACTCAATGTCTGGCAGTAACCAGGTATCCGACAGTACCATTAATGTAATAGGCCCTTAATCAAGATATGCCCTCAAAAACGCTCTTATGATAAGATTGATCTTTAGCTGAATGTTTGTAGATTGAAATGAATCTATCAAAGCCAACGGCTCATTTTTGATTGTATGTTTGAATTTCTTTGCTTGCCTGAGGTAAAGTGTCGGATGTCCATTCGTAGCTCTCAGTGTGGGGTTCATTATCAAAGCTAGGTAGGTACTTGCACGAACACTTGGAGGTAGGGAAGCTGATTGGGGCTTTGGACGAAAGGGATTCTGTCTATCAATGGAGCCAAAATTTCTGGAATCTCTTATTTGGCTACCTAATCAAGGCTCATGCACCTAAGTTCAGATTGCTATAGATGACAGGCAGTAGTTACATGATCACATGTCACAGAACTTAAAGTATCCATGGATGTTTGAACAAGGCTCTGAAGAGAATACTCACATCCTTACGGATTTAAAAGTTAAAATGATCAATAATACTCGGTCTGAGTAGCTTGTGCCATTGAAATTGCTAATGCTACCTAGTGAATGCTAGTGACAATAGTCAAACTATTTGCACGAGCCAGTACATTTCAAAGGATTGAATTAATTAAGTTTAAAGATGTAATCATAACGGCGATTATCAAAATTGGAACCCGAATCTGACTTCCAGAAGAGCGGGGGACAAAGCGACATAGGTAGTTAATGATGATATTGATAATGATGTCAGGAATACCTGGGTAGTTGGCGAAATATTGTTTTGAAAGCACGCACACTTAAATCATTAGAATAATTTGAATCTTGATAAGAGCTATAGACTACCTACGAATCACTACTCAAAGACCGTTGGATTTTCATAGTACAGCGCGAAAAAAGGAATAACCCCCAAAAGCGGCCTCACTTTGGACATCTCCAAATCTGTGCATTGAAAGATCGAGAGATTCAACACTTTTTCGGCTTCTGCAGTCATTCATCGGCATTCACTAGATACCGAGGTAGCTAATCACAAATACCTAGGTAGTTCTTTTCAAGATGAAAGTTTCTTGATTTGTCACCTGAATATTGTCATTTTTCCAAGGAACAATTATAACCTTGGAACATCTGACTGCCGAGGTGTGCTCTCGCACCTGAAGAAATTCACCCTCAATTAATGACAAACTAGTATTGCCTTATCATCTGCGTTGGAATTGCTGTACGGCGAGAGGAAGCGTGATAAAGGGACATGAATTTGTTGAGTCTAAAGATGTATGAGGCTGTAGTGCCATAAATATAAGCAGTTTCTACCCTTATGGATGGACATGAAAGATGCAGACAGAATAGACCAACAGAGACCAGATTCAGTCGAAACAAAGAGACATATATGTCGGTTTGGTCGGCATCAACCTAACTCTCTTTACTTCCAAGCGAAACACGACGGATAAAGTCAATGTTACTACATGTCATATATATACACTTCCAGAAATTGTTTCCCTGCTATCAATCTGCTGGTGGTTAATTTAAATAGGTCGCATCTATTCGACTTTGATATCATTTCTAGTAGCATAGAATTGTGGGTCAAAAGATCTAGCAAACTTGGAACATTAAGCGAGTGTCCTACTAGACATTCGTCTAATCTCGCAAGATCATATGATGAATACAAACATAGAATGCACTGTCATCCGAAGCTCGCGATCTAAGTCCTTTTTATTTTCCTCTCCAAAAGTGAAATGAGTCAAGGCTGCCGTAATTGTAAGTGTTGTCATGGAAATGAGGTTGTCTGAGCCCCACATTGAAAAACATTCACCACGCGACGATGTCAATTAGATGAGCAAGTTTCTCCATTCACAGCCTTTCTAATTATACCTAGGTACCGTGATAAACCGTCAGTAACCCGTAATAATTCACCTACAATCTCACTAGCGCGCACAATCAAGATTGGAAATATACATTTAAGGATCTGCAAATTTCGACCTCTTCAACAACCCCACCACTCTTCCAACTGTACGAAACACGACCAAAACTTTCATATTCTCCAAAACTCTTTACACAAAGACCAAAACAATCTTTTTGCAAGTTATTGAAACTATTAAATCTTCAGAAACTTCATCAACAGAACAACAGAACGCCGTTACACGTAAGTCTCTCGATCTATCAACGGCCACAAATCATTCGTCGTGCGCTTTGCTAATTAATTCCATCAACAGAGAAACTTTACCAAGCACAAAGACTTTCAAACTTTCAACCTTTCAACCTTTACGGCTTTCATCTTCTTTACAGATACCCAAATATTCCAAGTTGAAGATCCAAGTGTAATTCTTCCAATCTCTCTTCGGCGCCCAAATGTTCTGCACCATTAGCTAACTGGTTCCACACACAGTCTCAAAATGTCCAAGAACAGCCTCGACAACCTCGCTCCAAGCGTCAAGCCAACTCTTTTCAATCCACGTAAGGGAAAGGCTCCACAACAGCCATTTACCCAAAGATCAGATTCCAATGAGGGAGCAGCTCAACCATCCGTTGACACGGAGATGGGAGACACCCTCGGCCCGGGTATGACATTCTATCTCAAACTTTCTACGTGAATTGCACTAATAAATTGCAGAGCCTGGTGTACTCGACCCTCAGCATGGTAGTGAAGGAGTTGTACCAGCTCAACCAGCGGAGAAGAAAGAAGCGGTGATCTTCGGCGCCGGAATGTACGGAACAGGTATGATATCTGGTACTTGAATCCTTTATGTGAGCTGTACTAATGGATTCCAGTCTCTGCAGATGGTAACCATAAGTTCCAGTCCTCCAAGATATTTGGAATTTCGTCCAATGGCGGCAAAAACGTCGAAGTAGACGCGCTTAAGCTTGAGCTCGGAGCTGTCAGGGATGAATTGAAAACCTATAAAAAGGATGTTAAGAAACAATTCGGCGCACTTGACATGGAAATCGTCGACCTCAAAACCGAAAACCGTCAATTAGAAAATAAGTGTATGGACAAAGGCATGCAGATCGATGAGCTTCTTGGTATAGGATCATCAGCAGATTGGAGGGATACAGCGTCTGAGAATGCCGCTGCGAGCAACTCCATTATCGAACGTCTGCGAAATGAGCAGGCTACATTGGCCAAGTACAATGGTCGAATTATTCGAGAAAAAGAGAACCTAGAGAAGAAAGTTGATGAACTTGAGGAGAAAATCAATGGTCTGGAGAGCGAAGATCAATTCAAGGGGCACAAGTTACAAGCTGCACAAGATGTGTTGGAAGCTGCGAGGACTTGTCACCAGATCGAGATGGACCAATTACGAACAAAAAACAACGAACTCAGCAACGCTCTTGAGGGACGTGAGAATGAGTGCAGGGAGTTGTACGTTCAGGTCAACGGACTAAAGGACACGGTGGCACGACTAAGGCAGGACATTGCCGATACCAAAGCACTGGACCTTTCTGATTTTATAATTGAGGAAGCCTACAAGGAGAGAGACGAAGCCAGAAGGGAAATTGATGAGGCTCGAGCACAGGGCATCACGAAGGAAAGAATTCAGTCACTCACCAATGAGCGGGACGAACTTGTGCAACAGCTGAACCTTACCAGACAAGAGCTCAATGATTCCGTGCAAAAAGAAAGCGATGCGCAGGTAAACCTTGCCTCCGTAATGGCGGAGGTCGAGAAAATGAGGCCAGAATTCCAGCGTGTTTCCGAAAGATCTGCCACCGTTGATGGTCTGAATCAAGCCATTCACGAACTCCAGGCAGAGCTTAACACAGCCAAGAATGACCTCAACAATGCCAATGCTGAACGCTCGCAAGCTATCGAAGCCAAAGAAAAGGCCACATTCGCTGCTAACCAAGCTTTATTCAAATTCAGTTCCACCAATTCTGCCAGTGTGATCCAACAGCTTCGCACATCAATCGAAAAGCATGAATCCGAGAAGACCATGCATCAAATGAAGATCAATACGCTTGAGGCTGAGATCACCAGCTCTGCCAATACGATCCAACAGCATCGCACATCAGTCGAAAATCTTGAATCCGAGAAGACCATGCAACAAACTAGGATCAACGCCCTTGAGGCTGATATCATCAAGATCCACAAAGACTACGAAAAAAACATGCTCGCTGTTCGACGAGGCCACCAACACATCGTCGAGAAGAAGGATGCGGAGATTGATGGTCACCATCATAGGCTGTCTTTGGTACAAAGACAAAAAGAGGAAATGGTCAAGGAGAATGATGAGATGATTCAGCAACTCAAAGCTGAAGTTTCTGCTGGTGAAGCTTCTGTCCAGAAACTTGTCTTGGAAACCAAACAATCTGCTAGTGTTTCTGAGTTGGAAAAGAACCAGATCAGAGGTGAACTTGTTGTTGCCAAAAACTCAGTCCTGGAAGTCCAATCTTCCAACAAACTAATTCGGGGAGGTCTCATCAAGCTTCAAACAGATATTGAATCGGCGAAGAATCTCATCGTGAAGACCGACACGAAGGCAAAGTTGGCAGAGAAAAAGTTAGCGGAGACAGTAAAGCTGCTTGTCAAAGAGCAAACTGCTCACAAAGAGTCGAAGAAACATCATGCTGTTGCTCTCAACGCTCATTTGGGCATGGGTAAAACTGCGATGCTCAAGGACTATTTTACTAAAAAGGCATCCTCAAATGCAACTGATCAAGACGACCTTTTTGAGGTAGAAGAGGAATTGGTAACTCCAGTCCGTACACGTACTATCGTACGTGACGCACCATCCAGACCCTCTTCATTTGTACCAGACGCGTCTGAAATTGCGCTCATGAAGGCGACCGCTCGAGCTGGGCTCGAAAACGCTAGAGCCGATGCCAAAGCCGAATTCACTGAAGATGTTAAGACCGAACTCCGAAAGGAATTGGCTGAGAGCATCAAGGTTGAACTCAGAGAAGAATTGGTTGAAAGCACCAAGGTCGAGCTCAGAGAAGAATTGGCTGAAAGCGTCAAGGCCGAAATTGAGGACGCACTTTTAACATCTTCCACAATTCTCGGTCAAGATGTTCAAACTACCCAGGAGTTGCCTTGGCTTTTGAGGGACAAGAGAACCGCCTCAATCTTGCGGGTATTGTCACATTCGATCCTGCAACTCCAACATTTGTACACGGGACCGCTAACCGTGATGGATCAGCCATGAATGGCGCATTACTTGATGAACAAACTCCAATCCCAGTGATTGTTAGGAAGGGAAAACCACTTTCTAGGTTTAAGGTTTACTCTTGGTCAATGGTTGTCCTCATGCTTTTGTTGACCCCTTTTCTTGTTGGCTACCTTGGAGGCCCTGCCATCTCCTCTGCCCCAGGGGTCGTCCAATTAATTGATGCACCGAGACCGGCAATTATCCCAGTTGCCACAATAAACGCATCTCATTTTGCGACGCGCACGACATCTCGATTAGCGGTGATACCAGCAACGGCTTCAGCTTTTGTACAAATCCCTCAGGTCACAACAGTTGCTGTTCTTCCTGAATATGATTATTACCTGACCCCGATTTTATACCGAAGTGGAATTTTCCACTTACACCGATTCGTCGTCAAGGTCAAGTCAGTCGTTGCTACCTGGGAAGCTCTTAAGACTTCTTTTGAACGTGTTGCCAGTTTTTTTTCCGGCAAGCATTAAATCTCAAGAGATTTCGACAAGTCCTTACTGTACCATACTTGCTTCAAGCTTATGGGCCGTCAGAGAAGTCTAATTTTCTGTATTATATGTTGCTCTGTTTTCCTCTTCTTCGGGCTTGATTGTATTCTTTGCGAGGGCGGCGACCCTTCCAAGTGGTCCTACCAACACTTCGAGTGACCCCAATCTAACGTTCTCCAAACAACTCAATGTTATGGGAATCATCTAATCATGAATACTTCACATCGGATTTGCAAAGAATTTTATGAAGAAGGCGGACGCGTCTTCAATAATGAGTTCTTTGTAGGTTATCTTTGCGAAGATTTTCATGACGGACCCTCCTGCTTCTAAATTTCAACGAGGAATCATTCTCACAACTTCTGTACACTGACAATTTTTTTCGATTTCCAGTTCTTTTCTTCCAGCACCTCAACACCGGCATTTGCACGACTACGCACCATGATTGGGATGAACTGAACCAGGTTTTACTCATCCCCTTAGGCAAGGGATAGTTTGACAGGTTTTGTTCTCCTTTCTTAAGGTCTATGATGAGAGGAAATGTGAAAGATGGATGCTTCCTTTGGCGAGGCTGCACTCATTCTGACATACCACTTTCTATCAAAAACTTTATCATGCGGAGGCAACATAGCATTTCATGCTTTCTTAGGCAATGATCTAATCTCGTGTGTATCGCAATCTTCAAATTAACAGAAACTATAGGAGAAGAAACCTGGAAGGTAGATATTTCCTTTGGCGAGGACTTATTTTCATACACGGGTTTTTTCTCCTATCAGCATCAATGAAAGCGGCGGCGGAATTGCAACGAGATGTTCCCTTAGGCAAGGAGCTACTCTTATGCAATGATCTAACCTGGAATGCTTATAACTTTATGGTGAAATAGAGGAATGAAGGAAAGAATCACTGGATGGGTCGAAATTTTGCAGAAATGATTGCTCTCGAGCTGGAGTTCTCCAATGGTTACTGAAATTGGTGGACGGCATTGTGGTGGAGTTATGGCGATGAAATTACTCGGAAAATGGGAAGGGCTTTGCGGTTTTGAAAGGGTTTTGAGATGGGGTGACTGAGAGGATAAATGGATGGATTTGATGTTAATGGGTCAAAAATGGTGTAAGTCCTGGCAGGAAGCAATGGCTCTGCAGGTACTGGAGGATTTATTCGAAATTCGAATGTTTTTTCTGGTCTAGCTTTTCGCAGATATTGGAGTTTCCGTATCTTGTTTGCAGCTGGGTTTCTTTGGTATGGTGTTAAAGTACTTGGGTTTTTCGGCAGTCTTGAAAGATGATGTAGGATCACGATCTTGATAACACCTTAGAGTTGAAGCTGCTGTCGCAGGACTCTAATGAAAAAAACCTCAAATACTTCGAAATTAACTTGTTGATCGTGACATGGTTCTGTTTTGGTGAAATTGAAATGAACGAGATATACGTAATGCAGTGATGCTTGTAGTGTTCCATGCTCGTCGATAAAAACGATGGTGCGACCATCTTCGTTGGCTCATCAGGGTCTGTTTGTGAAGGTAAGGTTAATGATCAATGAGTGCCCTGTTGTTCAATATCAAATAAGTAACTCGATCCGAGTGTCGTTCTTATTCAACAAGACTGGTGAGATAAAGAGCAAGTTGCACTCTTATCATAAGAGCATCCTATCCTCACTCTATATCTACTTCTTAGTAGGTGGGGTGGGCTGGTGGCCCTCAAATATGACATAATTACCGGGAATGTGAATTTTGCGAGCCGAAATTTAGCCTTGGTGGTCTTCCCTTCCCTTCCCTTCCCTTCCCCTCTCGATTTCCTCTCCATCTCCATCTCCATCTCGACCTTGACCTTTCTTCAATCAAACTCCGTCGGAATAGAGATACTTTCCAAGATCTCAAAGTTATGGGTTTATATGGCTTTGCTTACGAAGAGCATGGTATGGTATCTTCAGATCGGTAGAATTGACTCTCACCTTTACCCCACAAATTCCCAAGAACCAGAATACATGACCTTATACAAGCGGATGCATCATTCGAAAGAGGTGCTTTTACATATAAAGACAGCGTTACCGCGCATCAACGAAACAGAATCCCTCAGTCTTTTCACCCAAATTACAGGATTGCCATTGATATGTCACAGCATTCGCTTCATTGGCAAGATTGCAATCTTCATGGCCAAAATATTTGCCCATCATGCCGACTTACCTGTGCTTCTTCAGAGTGTAGAATTTAAGCCCATGACACCAAGTGATCAATCGCTGGTCCTTTCTCTTATATGCAATGTTGTTATTGTGAGTGCTGAACAAAGTCATCTACTGATTTTTGATGAGCTTCCCAAACGATTGGCCGCTTTTGAGTGTTTGCATCACTGCACAATGCTCTATGGATGCAAAAGTTGGTTAAGCAAGCGAAAGAGCAGTAAACTCGTGACAGAGTGGATATTCACAGCACGGAAAACATCTACTAATTCACATCAAATTCAAGCATTCAATGCCACCCTTTGAATTTGCCTAGGGACTTGACATTCGAGATAGCTCGGGGACCTGGTTCGTCATGGGTATTATCTTCAAAGATGAGGGAGTTATTGCGGATTAAGGAAGAGAGAAAAAGGTTGACAGAATCCTAATAGCTGGAAGGAATTTTTACATACCACGAATGAACACCTGTCCTGAAAATAAGGAAACACGAATTTCAAAAAGGAGTTTGAAGAACCGGTATATGACTCATGTGGAATTTATCTGGAGATCATTTGCTACTTTTTTATGAGGTGGACTACATCTAGTGATTTCAATACATCACAAGATTTCAATGTTCTATATGATCTCAAAGTCCCAGGTGCTTTCAATACCTCGTGTGGTTTCAGTATCTCCAACTGCTTCAACTCCTTCAAGGTTTTCAATACATCACAAGATGTCAATGTTTTCAGTGGTTTTGATATCTATAAAGGTTTCAATACTTCACACAGGTTCGATTCTACCAATGGTTTTATTGTCCCTAATGGTTGCAATGTTCCAAATGACTTGGATGTTTCAAAAGGTTGAATTGGTCCACGTGGAAAGACGCCTGCGTGTATCTGGCTAAAATACAGTAATATCCATCTCATAGCTAAAGGAGTGCTTAATAACGAAAAATAAAAAAGTCAATGGTAAGTGCATTCCAACATTTGGTTCATAGTCAAGTGATGACTTTTCACTCGTTCATAGCGCTTTATACTCATTCACATCCCACTGTATGCCACTTTGATATCCCGTCAATTGAAGAAAATAACTTTACCTAAAGAGTGTAAGAAATAAAAGATCCGATCCAAGATTTGTCCAGCATATATCATTTTCGTCCCTTTTATCTTCCTTCACGATTCAACCCCTTTCGCTCCATCTGACTTCAAAACAACAGGAAACCTCTTTCAACAATCCTTCTCAAGTCCTTCAAATGCTTTCCTTTGTCCGTCGCTGCATCACCATAGACTGAGGTGGATGCTCTAGGAGAGGTCGCTGTGCTTGTTGTCTCAACAGAGCAGGCAAAAATGCCACTTTCCACGTTAATGACAGTAGAAGTACAAAGGCCAATTGCTGCGACGCCACTAATGAAACCAGCATTGCATGATTTACCGAGGTCGGCCTTTACACAGGTTTGAACGAGGCTTGCTCTACTTCTAGTGGTGGTTGGAGCGGCTGTCGCAAGAGTGAGGAGAGGGACGAGGGTAAGGATTGAGAATTGCATTGTGTCTTTTGGTGATCTCGTGTTAGATTCTGAATGTATAGGTATGAAGAAAACTTTCGGAAACAGTAAAATAATTGCCTGGGAATATCAGTAAACATTCATGAAAGTAAATAAGGAATGAAAGCTTCTTACACTGCAAATGTAATATGAGAACTAGAATAAAACTCAAGGTCTGTAGAATGTAAAGGAATGAATCGTGGGGTTCTTGCCGCCATACGCTAAGTAAATAACTTGTAGAGAACGGGACATGAAATAACTTTATAATGCTGAGTGCCGGATCTTCGAAAGGACCTCAATATGTAGTGCCTTATCATCTCAAATCAATATATTCTGCTACCTACCGAATTGAAGTTGTCTCCGGAAAATCCTTACCTACCAGGGTGGTTTTTGCCCTGTCGCTAACCCCTGCGGCTTACTTCCATCCAGGCTTTAGCACTCTTTTCAATCACCCCCACGATATTTTTGCCCAATCGTAATTCAAGCACATGTACGGTTTGTATGCGGGATAATCTTGAAGGTCCAAGGGGAAATTGTGACCAGTAAAATCGCTAGATGCAGTGACTTGAGGTATGTTGTCCGAAATAATTCTCGGACGACATATATACATGAAACAACAAAAGAACGGCAAAATCGAACCGATAAGAATATGACTTTATCCAGAACCCTATACTCCAATGAATACCCATGATTTGATAAGTACATGCTTGTTAAGTTTCGTCCCTGACAGATCTTCAGATTGCGCCAGATTGTGGAGATGTTTGGACCTTTTGAGCATTTTTTTGTAGTAGTAGTGATCTTAGCAATTTTTGCCGAGGAACTTCACATGTTACACGACTGACCGACACCACAGCTCGAAACCCCAACGGACCTCCATGAAAACCCAATTCATCTAGATCAACAAGCATAGTTCGAGGTTTGTCAGGATAAATAATCTCCACCACACGGCAATTCAGATTAACGCGCGTCATTTTAAGAGTGTGGGGGATATTGATACTTCAATTAGATGTCCATCTCTATGACCTGATCTCGATTCTTGCGTATCTGAGCTGCCCATTAAGAATCAAGAAAAGTTTACCAAACTGACAAACTTAGTTGGCGCTTGAGTCTTGAATTCTGTAAAATAAAATAAAATTTGTGTTTGCAAGCCGGAAGCGTGGTGCATTTTCTTTATAGGGTTACATTCATCAATGCTAACTATTCCTATCCACTTGTTATCTAATCCTCAACGATTGATCTTCATTAGCGTATCAATGACGTTTTGAATGATTTGTATCGAGGAATTGAAACATGAGTCAGGCTGACGATGCAGAAGAGACTGGAGGATCCTTTTCCCGCAAGATCAGGCAATCAAAGTGCTTGTCCCTCGCTTCATTAAGCGAGCAGAAGAACTGTAGACATGTTGCCCAACAACAGATATAGAGAGGATACTCAACGATATCGCAAACTCTCTTGGAAGCAAAATAGAAATGGGATGCGGTAACGGATTTTCCTTGTATGGAGCACCTTACCTTATTGAGACTCGACCAATGAAATGGCTTCTGCCAGAAGATCAAACCGACAGCATTCCGAACCGGAGTGTCTGATAATCCGGGCTTAAGTCAAACAATCAAAGACTTTCAATGTTTGGAAGCAGTATATTATTCACAATGGAGTTGGTGTCTCAAGTCATTGAGAGCTTCTAGTGTAACGCAACCTGAAGTTCCACGGTGAATCGCAGATGGCAATGCTAGAATATGTTCAAAGATGCAAATGCAATGGTAAGAACTATCCGTTCGATGTTCTATTCCTCATATATTATAGTTAGCTAGAGAATTTAGGCCTATATCTCCTCATTGATGTTCCTTGACATCATTGCACTCTCCCGTGTTCAACCTTCCTCAACCCTTCGAAAAACTCCTCTTCGACGTCTAGGAATTTGCCCAGAATAGCGAGATTAATCAAATCTTCTTCGCCCACTCCTTCATCCTCTTCACCTTGGCCAGAGTCTGACCCTCCCTTCAAGATGTTCCTCCATATTACGATAAGATCCCAGATTATCTCCTTCCCTAATGCTGCTAATTCGGCATAACCCACTTTCTGTTTCGCCCAAGTGCCCTCAATCAGAGCGTCGATATATACGGTGAATTCGGTAAGATATGCCTTTTTAAGCTGGGTGATTCTTGGATTGTAACAGACTCCGTCCCATCTGTCATCGAGGAGTCTCTGGCGCTTGGCTTCCACGAGATGCTTGAAAGTAGTGGAGGAATTGAGAAGAAGCGCGACAGGCAAGCGTACGAATGGCGGCTGACAGTCACTGCCCAACGGAAATCCTTCATTCTCTCGACTTTTCAAGAGGAGAATATAGCTTTTGATACCAGGAGCTCTCGCTAGCTTTGCCCTCTTCTGCTTCTGGACTCTGTTGAAAGTATGTTTGGGTTTGACGAGGTCGAATATCTTGGTTCGAGCTCTAGCCGCAGTCGGCAGCGGCTGCTTGTCGTCTGCGGAAGTGAAGGATTGGAAGAATTGAAGGATATCCTCGGGCGGAGCTTTATCGAAAAACGGTGGTTTCGGTCGTGTGCCATCAACTGGTAGTTTGTTAGATGCCATAGGTAACTTTAGATGTAAATAAGAATCAGGTTTCCAATAGTCTAGACCGCAATGTAAGAACTCGGTTTCGAGATTTCGATGATGCCATTACCCAAACTCCATTTGATAAATTGAAGGACCTCGATATCTCAAAGATGTTGAATTTTCTAAGGATTTTGGTTGTTCGACTGCAGTCCAGACTATCTGATATCAGGAATTTGAACAAAACTTACCAGAGGTCGTGTATACACTCCTAAATCTTGGGATCTCCACGTTAAGGATGTACTCTAAAACAGATGCGTCTCCTGCCTCTATCTGAGGCTTTAAAATGCTTTGCACGTCCTGAAGAGCCAAAGTAAGAGTGTCCAAGCTTGCTTGAGCGCGCCACTTGAAAGATGGTGAGTCGGTTGTCATGATACAAGTAATTGAATGTTGTCAGTTCGATAGTACTTTGGGATGCAACGGCGGTTGCAAGGGTGAAGACAAAGACATGACCCGAATGTTCCTGTTGATGATAATTCTGTACAAGACCTTCGCCTGATTTAATCAATTTAAGGAGAGTGAATATCTTCAAATCTGCAAAACACACAGAATGCTCCACAAATTACTTCTCCAATACAGCACCCACCATAACCGTGGAAGTCTGAGATGTCCAAAAAAAAGTTTGAAGAAAAGAATTGAACAAATGGTAAAAAGAACAAAAGAATATGAACCCGCCATAAGGCATGGTAGTAAGGGGATCGTATACCGAGTGCGCCAGGAAACGCGACACACGACCTACCAGGCAAAGCTTGGGGAGCATATGTGGGTCCCAACCGGAGTTGCTACCACTGCGCCAACTCACTTCATACTCTCGAAGGAATGTGTCTATCTTAGATATATAAAGGACAGTCCTCTTCCTTAATGTCACCGTCGCTTTATTGGTGAAAAAGTGGAGCTGGCTGATTGGCAAGTCGATAAATTTCGAAAGTCAACCTTCATTCACAATGCAAATCTGGTGTACTTGACTTATCACGGTATTCTATTTAATCTTAGCGTACATCTTTAGACGTTTCTAAAGACGCCCTTCTCAACTTTTCAGAAATGTCAACGCGCCTGCAACCAAAGCTTCCACACCGGTCTTTAGTGTTGGCTGTATAACCGGCGTGAACAATGGACTATGATTGATTGGGACATCTTCCATCCTTCCCGCTTCCTTAGCTTTCCTGATGACTTCAGGATCTATGCCACCAAAGAGCCAATAACAGGAAGGTACACCTTTTCCACCCTCTTTGTTCGGTGCCTCTGTTGCCAAGGTCCCAAAATCTTCCGATCCACCCAAAGGTGCGCAATTCCGATTATGATTTTCCCCAAACACAACATCGAAAGTATCTGATAGCTTTTGTGTGGTGATATCATCATTGACCAAGAAGGGGAAGCTGCTCGTCGGTTCGAACAGGGGTTCCTTCGTAGCATTTGAAGCATCGCATTCTGCTTTCACGATTCTTCTGATCGATTTCAAAACCTTTTCCCTTGTCTCAGGATTAAAATTCCTCACATTGATCTTTAACACAGCTTCATCTGCAATAATGTTCTCCGTCATGCCCGCAACAACGCTCCCTACTGTTATTACAGCCGAGTCTTGGGGGTTTACTTCTCTGCTGATGATTCCTTGCAATCGTACCACAATATTAGCAGCCATAAAGACTGGATCAATCGTCATATGAGGCTGTGATGCATGACCACCCTTTCCATAAACCGTCACTCGGAAACTATCTGCAGCAGATCCAGAGATTCCTGTTCGCGTTCCCACTTGTCCGGCTGCAAGTGGCATTACATGCTGTCCTAATACCACATCCGGAATAGGACACGCGTGCCTTTCAGGATCATACAATCCATCTTCTATCATAGCTTTCGCTCCTGCACCTCGCTCCTCATTTGGTTGGAACAATATCACCAATGTACCTTTCCAAGTGGACTTTGCTTTTGATAATGTTTCTGCAGCGGCTAACATACATGCTATATGCATATCATGTCCACAAGCGTGCATTACATCCTTTTCAATGCCATCTGCACCATCAACTTCTCTTTTTGTGCTAGCATATGGTAGACCAGTCAATTCCTTGACGGGTAATGCATCAATATCTGCACGGAGGAGAACAGTAGGTCCAGAAGAGTTCTTCAGAATTCCAACGAGGCCAGTGCCTCCGATGTTTGTACGGACTTCAAAATCGGGGAGCTTTCGGAGTTCCTTTGCAGCAGTTTCCGAGGCTAGATGCTCTTGGAGTGACAGCCCGGGATTTTGATGAAGATTTTTGTAGACTGATTCGTAATAGCTCAGGTCAGGAATATGCTCCTGGAGAAGCGCTGGGATACTCATGCTTGCTGTTTGTCTCGTCAAGCTATCAGCAACAATTAACGATAATTGATGAGAAGAATTAACCCAAAGTTCGTATCGATATGGGAAACTGACGTGTTATCACCAATGGACAGTCTTGATATATTGAAGGGTCGAATGAAGAGAACTGATTGATAAGCTCCAGTGTAAAGACACGGGCGGGGTCTTGATTGATGCAGTGATGGCACGTGATAGACTGGGTTGAAGAGACCCCTAAGCCCCTACAAAACCACAAACCCTATTTTAATCAATTTATAGTATATCTTCATATTTTGGTGACAACAATGATATTTATCGAGCTCTTCCTGGTCCGGAAGAACTACTAATAAATAAAAAATATATAGAAGATTCAGTCGAAGGGGACTGTACTTGATCGTCCATATTCTATACAACACTGAGATCATCTTAGATCCGTTGAATATAAATCTAAATCCTGTATTCAAGAACTACATTTTACAGGTTTTATGGTTTTGTAGGGAAGCTTGCCCACATTTCCCCATCTTCGTCCAACGTTCCCCCGCTATATGCGGGGCAAGCGGCCTATCGAGTTCAGAACAACATCTCCAAATAATAAATAAAGCTCCAAGCAATCAAGCTCCCTTCTTAAATTCCAGACATTCACAACACAAAATGGCCGATAATAACTTGGTCGATCGACTGGCCCTTATCACGGGCGCATCTGGAGGGTAAGAAGCACCACTCTTTGTCACCGAAAACTATGAATAACAAGAGGATAGAATAGGATCAGCTTGTGCTCGTGCATTTGCAGCTGAAGGTGTTCATCTCGCACTCACATATTCTACTTCCAAAGATGCGATTGATAAACTCCTGGATGAATTACGTCAAACATCATCGGGGAAAGATCTTCGAATCTCTATTCATCAAGTGGATATGGGTTCACCAGAACAAATCTCGGGTCTCTTTGATGAGATCAAACGTGATCATGGGAGTCGCACGGTAGATATATTAATATCCAATGCCGGGTATGGAAAGAGAATTGTAGATATATCAGATATTCCATTAGAGGAATTCGACTACACTCTTAACATCAATTTGAGAGCATCGTTCTTATTAGTCAAAGGTGTGGTTGAGGGAATGAAGGCACAAAAGTGGGGGAGAATTATCTTTATATCGAGTATAGCTGCTTATGGAGCTGGGCTCAATGGTTGCCGTATGATATATACTCTCCATTTCTTTTCTTGGGTTCTTGACTGATGTGCACTTAGATTACGCTGCATCGAAAGGTGGTCTCACGTCTATGATGAAGAACCTATCACTTCACCTTGCCGAGTACAAAATTACAGTCAATGACGTGGCACCGGCGATGATTGGCAACACAGGTATGATTCCAAATGCCGATGTTGCTCCTGGTTTACTTGATGCAATTCCACTACATCGATTGGGCACTCCAGAAGAATGCTCGAATGCAGTTATGATGTTTGCAAAGACTGGTTACGCTACTGGTCAGAGCTTGTTGCTTGCAGGGGGGCTAAATCACAAGTAGATGGCCTTTGGTATGATGTTCAAAAGCTCGTTGCAATCTTATCATAAGATGGTACATATATGGATAGGGTCCCGTAGCAATGGTACTGTCAGATACCTGGATTGAGCTCGCTGGGCCCATCACAGAATAATAGCGAGGAAAATTGATCTCCTTACAATGTCGAAGCGAACATTGGACATTCACGATTCAGTACGTGTAAAATCTTTGTGCAAAATTGAATCACTTGAGTCTTGAGCCTTCAAAGACATTCTTGTATCCGATTATCCACTTTCAGTCTAGAATTTGGGAAGTATCATGAAGCATTCACGTTCATGAGAATTTGAACTCGTTACATTCTTAAATATTTGAAATAGCAAGGCAAAAAGGCAAGACGAAAAGAGGGTATCATCTCACATCCCATATCCCACAACGAAAAAGGCCATCAAAAGTACCACTTCAATATCCCATCGCCTATTATTGAAAAAAATCCCATCCTCATCGACTTCCTGGACGTATTTTCCCCCATGCATAATTATACAATACAAGCGATACTCCATTCCAAAAACAAAGACAGATGGGAAATATAAATTCAAAGGTACTTAGGCACCAGGGACTTTGACATCCGTTCTACCACTTCTGTGCCAAACCGCCAATAATGCACCACAATGCCCGCATTTATGTTCAACATCCTTGAGGCCAGAGATAAGGTAAGGTATACATCCTAGACAGGTGACTGCGCAGCAAAGAAGCGCGATGAGACTAGTAGAGGGTTAGTATATATTATATCGCCTCCGAAGAGGCGAAAGAGATACACTTACTGTGTAGTCATTCCACTATGGCTTTCAACAGCTGTCACCTCTCTTACACCGCAAACAGGACAGTCTACAGGAGTAGGGCCGGTTTGGAGTGCACGGATAGGCATAGCGGTGGCATAGTTATTCTTTCCTTGATTGATATTTGCTTGAGGTGGATGTTGCGCTGGATAATGATCTTGAGGAGGGTATTGACCTTGAGGAGGTGGAGCTTGATATTGACTCTTCTCATTTGTGAAACCCTCTTGCTGAGGTGGGATTTGTTGTGATGCCATTGTATTTTGATTAGGGCCGACGACTTCAATACCTTGATAAACGTCTGGTTGGATGTGTTGTTGAGTTTGATGTGATTGTGGAGGTAAATCAGGATGTGGTTGTTGTTGAATATCTGAAGTAGATGTGTTGGTGATACCAGTTAATTGTGGAGAAACGGAGGTGAGGTTATGACTGGTTGAACCTGTGATTTGAGGAGATGTAAGGGGAGAAACTCCTTCTTGATAGGTAGGTGGAGGTGGGTTATTATATTCGACCATTGTCAGACGTTGTTTCGTGAATTGATTTGACAACTTGAAAGGGGCTTGACAAAGGGCTGCGGAGGCGCGTGGAGGCTTGGAATGTATGATGTATGATGTATGATGTCCTTTCTTTCGAGCTAATTAAGGCTCATCGAATAACTTGATCTTATGGATTGAGCAAAGACTAATCATAAGGACATCAAATTTTCGCCGAGATTTCTGAATCTTGTTTAATAATGACTGTGGTTTGGAAATTGAAGCTTCGTGAAGTTTGATTGCACGTAGATGAAATGTTTAATGAAATTTCCGGGCGTGGTTCCGACGGTATTGCTGGATGCTACTAGATATTCACATCAATGGGATCTCAAAGCAAAGATGGTTTGTATTGTAGAGAGAGTGAAGGATGGAAGGATGGAAGGAAAGAATGAAAAGACGTTGTTGGCATCATCTCCCAGCTCCTCCCCAGCTCCCCAGCTCTCCCAGCTACCCACGCGTGCTGTGGTGGTAAGTTGTTAAGTTGTTACCTAGACCTTAGCACGTGCTTAGATCAACAGAAGGAGTTAAATGTTGCCGCAGCTGAACGGTTGAAATGGCACAGACCTAGATAAAGCTTACGCTAATGCAATGAATTATGTCAAATATGGATATATACCTAGGATGGTGCAGGATTATGAGGATATTTTAGCATCATATTACCTCAGATTACCTCGAGATTACATAGAGATTGTAAAATGTCTCCACTATTTTAAGTTGAGCTAATCAAATCACTCTATTGGAAATTACGGAGTAAAAAGGAGGAGGGAGGATGCCAGGATGGAGATGGAAATGGATCAACCCTGGATCAGCCCTGGATCAACCTTGGCTCAACAACTGAAACTGGAGAATCGAGAAAAACCCTTCGGTGGACGGGCTCGACGGGGTGAAGGCTCGTGTGGCTCGTGTGGCTCATTTTGGCACGTGTTGGGGCTGAGTCCAGGTTGATGATCCTGAAAGTCTACCTAGTACTCTGCTCTGTCCAACGGGAAAAAGGGCCAACTCTCCAAAATGATCCCTTCTGCAGTCTTCAATGAAATCTTCCCACAGTTCCCGAGCTCGCCACCGCGAGTTCTCTCCTTCATCCAACTCTCTTCAAAACTCTGGTATTCCAACTCTCTTGTGATAGCAATCCATGAAGATGGTTCTCGCAAATTCACCCTCTAATCATACACACCATGAAGGATAGTGTGGGTATGGCATTGCATAAGCCGGATATGTTGGAATTGGACTCGGACATTGTGAAGCGTAATCATACATGAACGCTTCGCTATGTTCATACTCGATTTGTTCTTGTTCTTGTTCGGATTGCTGGCAGGTTTCAAAGTAAGCATTTTGTCAAACTTGATGATTGGAAGCAACAGTATTGCTACTGTCACCCAATCGCATGTCATTAGACAGCTTATGTGCAACTTACAATGGGACAATCCACGTGAGCCAAACTTGTTTGTTTTCTTGGTCGAGATATACTGAATTCTCCACATCGTCTATGACTGACAATCTTCTTGTGGTTTCTTTGCCATCTCTTGAACCTCGAACAGATGTAAACGCTGGTACTCGATTCATTGCATCCTGTGCAACGAACTTCTTGCTCTACGCACATCTTATTATAGCGAGTGATCTCAAAAAGGCTTCAGTTATATTGGGAATTTGATTGAATGACTTCGTTGAATTGTTCGGGAGCAATTGTTACATTTGCGAGTGCCCGTCAGGAGTTCATGATCCGCATAGTAGGAATTGTCCAGATTTCAAAAGTTTGAAATCGGAGAGACAAACCACTTGTATTTAACTCCAAAGCTACCTGACAAACGTCCCATTTTATCTGGTAAAATCACACAAAATTTATACACGTATCGCTCATGAACCAAGTGGTCCATTTCTACTCGAGCGCAACAACGCACAAAAGAAAACAAGACATCTTAATGGCGGTTCGCACCCCACCCTTGATTTTATCGGCTAAATCATCATTCAAATTATTCAACACATGTTTGATCACTACTTACTACTCATGTAACCACAATAAATGATATCGAATAGGCTTCATCCTTCCCTCACCTCTTCACTAACATCTATACAATGCACTGGTCCACGAGAAAGACGAGGCAGATAATTGCTTCTTCCCAGTGGTGGGCGAATCCATGCAGTGAGAATACTATATATTCAGAATAGTTTAACCGGACCAGATTATTCAAAAGTTCGGGGCGGTTGACAGATTTGATGCAAGCTGTCAATGATTGATGCATATTTCACAAGGATATTTCTTGCTTGGATGATGGTTTTGCATAGGGTATGAGTGAGTGCCCCGGCAATTGGATTTCTCCTCGCATTGGTATCTTGCGCGGATGCATACATTCATGATTCTACTCTTGTCTAACAAAGTAGAATCCGCGAACTTATCTGTGGTTCGTGCGCTCTCACAGAATACTCCATCGATTGCAACTTGTGGTACCGGATGATCGCACACCTTCATTATTGCCAGTACTGCAGTGCGTCTGAAAGACCCGGTGCAAATGTTTCCCATAATTCGGATTGCAGTTTACATGAGATTCTACTTTCAAAATTTTCTATTGTTGAATCTGGACTATCGAACATCCTGCAAGGGTATCATTGAACACTTTTTGCCAGTGCGACCATTTCATCAACTGTCGATTAGTACCAGAGCAACCCGTACAATACTTGGATCGATTTACTTGAGCACCATTGTGACAGGCGCTCGTGTATTTACGCCCTTCTTCTCTCTTCTGCTCCACCCTTTCTGATGGAAGCGAGTGAAGTACATATGTGAATGGAACAAAGCACAGGACAGATATATACGCGAGAAGGCACGTAAGAACTGGGAGCTGTATAGCCGAATATAGAAACGATTCTCGAATTTGTGAAGAGTCGTATCAGGAGTGCGAGCCAGGTAGCGGCGTAGGCGGAAGTTTATGCATTGGGGAAGATTGAATCCTGAAGCTTGGTCGCGGGGAGAATGTATAGATTTTGAAGAGTAAGAGTAGTTGGTCTCAATGAATTAACGTCTATGATGGAGTTCTCTATGACTCTCACTATTCTTAATTCCCTTCCGCGACTAAGTTCATTCACGAATACTTGAAGTGATTGTGGTATGTCTCTACAGTGATTCGACACTTTTTTCTTTCGCCATAGAGAATGGGATGTCTATTTGAAGGCAGTCTTCCAACCCACTGCTCAGATCCTCTACAACTATCTGGGAGTCTGACACCTATCTATTCCTGCATAAATTCCGACACACAATACATCACTCATTCATACGCATCACGAACTCGCACCACCCTCGAAATGTGCAAAGAAACCGAAATTATTTGTCTCTCTTGCTCTTCAACCATTACGGTAATCGATACCTGTTCTCTTTACAACGTGAAATCAGCAGATGAGCACGGCATCTCACATCGAACTTGCCAACAGTTCAAGCCCAATGTTGAGAATGCAGAATATGTGCAGAAGACGGATAAAGAGTTTCACATGTGCGAAGATCGACGAGCGGGATCTGCATTTCCCTTTTCCTTCTTGGGAATGAGATCAGAAGACAAGTAGAAATCGGATTGGGAGGGGTGGCCCGGATGGGGAAGGGGTTCAGATGGGTGGAAAAGGGGAGAAATGATGGAAAGGGCCAAGACGCTAGAAGCTAGATGTTTCTGAGGATGGAAAGGTAGAATGAAGTGGAACAGGGGTGTATTAGAAACGGGCAGATCTTAGGACGGCGAAGTAGACTAGACATATAGGGAAGAGGGGAAAGAGCTTAAAGCTCTAGAGAGACTGGCTTGGGCAGATTATCTTTGTTTGTATTCTTAGACCATGGGCCTTTGAGGAATGCACATACACTATGCTTTTACGTAACATTATGGATGTAAAATCTAAAGCGATGAGTGCACGTTGTAACATTGTTTTAGAGCCCTTATGCCGCGGAGTGGGAGCGGAGTGGGAGCGCAGGCATAAAGAGGAAAACCCTTTTGTTCCCACTCCCCCCCCTCCGCCCCCGTTTCGAAAAGACTCATTGTCTAATCCTCTACCTACAAAGACGTAAAACGCGATACTTTCGATCACCCAATTAGAATCAGACATTGAAAACACCCGAGAGTGTTATTCACCTTGGGATCCGATCTCTCAATGAAAATAAAGTACCCGGGTGTACAGGCGCAGTTCGAGGTGCAGTCGGTATCTGTCAGTATTCCACGGGGTATGAGGGAACATTGAACCTTTGAAAATCAATTTAATAACAATTGTAAGAAAAACTCAAGATATATTCATGATAAAAATATCCGCAACTTGGTTGAGTTGAAAGGTGGAGAATTGATGAGATCAAGTCTCATCTATCAATTGATTAGAAATACAATTAAATATATGGTTAAACTTCCAAATTGAATCACTGCTGACATACCCCGTACAAAAATGTTTTGACCACATTGACGTAGAGCCGCAAACTGGGGCCTGGTTCGTTCGTTCTTGAGCCTGGGATTTTGGTTTTAGCCAGATCATATACTCATATTATCTTATCATATCGTATCATATCGTATCATATCATTCTATCATCCTGTGATCCTTTGATTCTTTGATTCTTTGACCCTTCTTCCTCTTCTTCTGCTTCTCTCTCTCTCCGTCCAAGACAAAACTCAATTGCCTTTGTTTCCGTTATTCGTATTGTCTCACCTTATTGTGATTTTGATATTCCTGTCGAGCTCACATGCCTTCTTCCATAACTAAGCATCGGTGATGCCACTGCGATGGCTACGAGGTTGGCTGGGCTTCCCTCCCAGTAATCAGTCAACATCTATCTTCAGAACAAGATGGTTCCTATTACTTCTTCTGGCAATATGGCTTCCTCTAAGCAATGCAATGACACCTGCGCGCATTGCAGAGTTGCGAAAAGAGACGGTGGAAATGTTTTATCATGGATTTGACAATTACATGGAACTTGCATTCCCGGAAGATGAGGTTCGATCACTGTTAAAGGCTCAAAGTATCTATAGCTAATCTTTCTTTTAGCTAAGACCAGTATCCTGTACACCACTCACTCGAGACGCCCAAAACCCTCGACATCTCGAATTAAACGATGTACTCGGAAATTATTCTCTTACTTTGATTGACAGTTTGTCGACTCTTGCAATTTTGGCATCTGCCCCTCCAGATGAAGAAGAAACCGGCGCAACAGCACTTCAAGAATTTCAAAATGGTGTCGCTTCTCTAGTATTACAATATGGTGATGGCACAAGCGGAGCATCCGGAAAGGGTCTACGTGCTCGAGGTTTTGACTTGGACAGTAAAGTCCAAATATTTGAGACAGTGATCAGAGGTGTGGGTGGGCTCCTCAGCGCTCATGAATTTGCCGCTGGAATTCTACCAATCAATGGATACAAACCACAATCTAGCAAGACCTCTGGAAAGACTTCGAAAACACATCAACCTGCGATTTTGTGGTCGAATGGGTTTAAATATGATGGACAACTTCTGCGCCTAGCTCTAGATTTGGCTGAACGTCTACTACCTGCTTTCTATACCGCGACCGGTATGCCATATCCAAGGGTCAATTTACGACACGGTATACCATTTTATGTGAATTCCCCTCTACATGAGGGATCTGGGCTTGGCGACTATGTGCAAGAGGACACTCCTGAAATTACCGAAACATGTAGCGCAGGAGCGGGTAGCTTGGTTTTGGAGTTTACTACTTTGAGTCGTCTTACCGGAGATCCAAGATTTGAGCAATTGGCGAAGCGAGCCTTCTGGGCGGTTTGGAATAGGCGGAGTAATATTGGACTCATTGGAGCAGGAATTGATGCAGAGAATGGCCAGTGGATTGGCTCATACGCCGGCATAGGTGCGGGTACAGACAGCTTTTTCGAATACGCATTCAAAACCCACATTCTGCTCTCCGGACAGAGCACTCCCAATATAACGACGCATAGACAACAACAGCATGAATCGTGGTTGGATCCAAATACAATATACAATGAATTGAGTGCCGAGGAGAATTCTCCAGAAGCGTTTCTTGCAGTATGGCACGAAGCTCATGCTGCAATCAGGAGGCATCTGTATAGTCCTACACACCATCCACATTACGTCAATGTTCACCTTGTCACCGGCTCTCCGCAGGCCTTCTGGATCGATAGTCTTGGGGCTTATTATCCCGGTTTATTGACTCTGGCTGGAGAGGTTGAGGAAGCCATTGAAACTAGTCTATTATACACCGCTTTATGGACGAGATATGCAGCCCTTCCTGAAAGATGGTCAGTACGCGATGGGCATGTAGAAGGAGGACTCGGTTGGTGGCCTGGCCGCCCTGAGTTCATTGAATCGAATTACCATCTTTACAGAGCGACGAAAGATCCTTGGTATCTTCATGTCGGAGAAATGGTTCTGGAAGATATTAAACGCAGATGTTGGGCAACATGTGGTTGGTCAGGTCTACAAGATGTGCGCACTGGAGAAAAGAGCGATCGTATGGAAAGCTTCTTTCTTGGAGAAACAGCCAAATATCTCTACCTACTTTTTGATCCAGATCATCCAATGAATGATCTCGATGCCGCTTATGTCTTTACGACTGAGGGACACCCTCTCGTGCTTCCTCGAGAAAAGTCGAAACCTCCAGTTACACCTCGTACACCGATAACAACTAAAGCAGTTCAGCCAACGTATAGGGCATCTCTTCGGGATACCTGCCCTGTACCCCCTCCACCAGTACCTTTTACTGTCTCCAGTACAGCTGCCAGAACGGACGTATTTCATGCTTCTAGTTTAATAGGTTTGCACATGATACCAAATCATCGTGCTACGATGGATGGTGAAAATATCAAGGTCAACAATCATACATACTTCCCATGGACTTTACCAATCTCAATGATTCCAAGTAATGGCACTTGCGATCGTCTTCCGATAACCACAACTTTCACAATTGAGTTTCCTAACAATAATCCTTTGAGCACTCAAAACGCCAAAAATGGTTTCAATATTATCTTTAATATCCCAACAAGTCTTGACCGTACAAGTGATGGTAGTATATTGGTCAAGAGTTTGTCTGGTTTGAAGATGGGCATGATACATGAAAGTCAATCATATTCTTCTGGAATCAATCAACAGCTCTCCGGATCTTGGAGAGTGGGTAGTATTGCCAATATACCGTTAGGACGAGATGAGCAGATATTGATACCACGAGATGTGATTGGAGATCTCACAGATCCTTCATTCTCACGTATTAGAAATCCAGTTATGCTTGACATAGTCATACAACTTGAACACGTTCATGATCACAATCAAAATATGTCGGAAAGTGTCGAGGAATTGTTCGAAGAGGAACCAATTTACGAAGATACCCCGGCTTTAGCATTGGAAGAATCGATTAGTAGTGCAGGATTAGCAGAATATAGAACTTTGCTAAGTTCTCTCCTTCAGCAAGTGACATCTGCCCTTCGCGATCCGGCTGCTACTCTACTTCCACAACCCCAGATTGCTCCGACGTATACCTACGCAACTCTCCCGGCTGTTTTACCAACTGGTAAAGGTGCACATCTCTTGATTAATGCACCGGAGGCTCCCGATCCTATGACCGCCAAGACTTCATCTGCCACTCTTTCCTTTGAAAGCATTTTCTTCGCAGGTGAAGCTTGTGATGGAAAACTCCCCGATGAGGCAGTGAAACAGCATCATGTTATAGTCATGAAACGTGGCGGCTGTACTTTCTCCGAGAAGCTGGCCAACATTCCCAGCTATACGCCCACATCTAAAGGTCTTAAATTGGTCATTATGGTTTCAGACGACAAGGACGATGTTGAATCAGGCGAGGAAGATATGGAGGATGAAGGGGCCTCGCGGAGAGGAGAGCAAAATCTCATCAGACCACTGTTAGACAAACCACAACTAACCCCAAGCGGCCTTTTGAGACATCATCAAATTAGTATGGTAATGATCGGAGGAGGCGATGAAGCCATCCAAGCTTTAAAACGTGCTAAAAGTGTCGGCATCCGTCGAAGATACCATGTGGAAAGTCAGGGACTAATGGTTAGCAACATTTTTGTGGTTTGATTTCACAAATGAATAACAGTAAATATATGAAGTACATGATCAAGAGCATTGTGGAAATCTGGCGTTAGGATATCTCATTGGGTTGGGTTGGTGCGCTGAAAAATCAAAAAGAATACCATTTCTTGGAACGATTGGGGTACCATTGTTTCATACCTTGGTATGTTGTAGATATCGTCGATGCTTGATTTTGCATATAAACGCAGTTACATACACATTTCGTGCTTTTGCACCAGTATCAGCCTTTCCCATAGTTCAGATTGCAGTCCGACAATCAAAAGCTTCGAAACTTGCAGAGATACATAGTACTCATTTTAGATCACATGATATATGAATTACTTATGATCTCTCCCCCTTTGAAGAAACTCCCATGAATTCGGGGGCATACTTCGATTCTACATACCCACCTAATAAGCAGTCATACTGTTGTTTAACTAGACTACACCCGGAACGAGAAACAAGTCATAGTCTCGCGTGTCTGTATTTGTGCGCGTGTATTTGCGTTGCAGCAGTCGAAATCCAAATTTATCATTGTAACTCATCAGATACCCAGTATGCCAATCGCCGCGTGGGCATAACTCCAAGAATTGCGAAATCGATAGGAATGGAATGGGTTAGGAGCAAAGCACGAGGATTGTGTCAATGATTATGAGGTTACTCGTCAGCAAAGTGCTTTGTCTACCCGCGCCGTTGTCAATGTAGTGCTAGATTCATATCATGATTTCTGAGGAGCGGAGAATAATCTTTCGATCAAACAAGTACCAGTCCAGTGTACCATTTAGGTGAAAGAAAAACAGCTATAGATAACCTCAAGATGCATTGCCAACGATACTACCTACTCTTCTTGGATGCTCAAGCATCGATACACTACCTGGTGAGTAAGTACGCCCTATAGTATAGAATTAAAACTCCCTCTATCCCTCACTCCCATAGGTAGGTATTCAAGAATCCCAATGCTAATCCCAATCCCAACACTACTTTAATCTCCCATCAAACTCAAGCTCAAACTCGATCAACAGCAGCCCGTCTCCTCAGCAGGACTAATCTAATCTCCATCCCTCATCACGAGAAGATCGGTTACTTTTTCATCTCCATCTTCATCTCCATCTTATCTCTCGCTGAGAATGACTAATTATGTGCTAGGGGTCCTTCAAAATTTTGGAACGTCATTGAGGACGATATGTACTGTACATAGGTACATACCTATAAATCACCATTTTCGATTTCCGCATCAGCTCCGACTTGGAAGTTGGAAACGTGCAGGTATGGTCTAGAAGAAGGCTAGTCATCAGTCTGGTGGTCTACATGGATTTGGATCTTGATCTAGGGAACGGACTTCAACCATGTCCTTCGACAAGGAATTGTATTCGGCGTGCTCTTAATCTACTCCTAATCTCCTACTTCTCAACCCTCCCTGTGAATTTGCCAACTACTTACTCGGATGCATGTATTCTGTCCCATCGGAAGACTCGCGGATATTTCAAATTTAAGTCTCAAGGTAAAAGAAATTCGTACAACAAAAGCATCATCCAGTTTCGAAATTCGTCTATTTGAACATTTCCGCTACGCTATCAAAATAAGCCTTCTTTTGAAGCCGAAAACCATCTATGCAAAGGTCACTCCCAAGAGGAAATATGAGAGATCCCCAAAGTAAAAACTCCGTACGCTATGCTATTTCTCCCAACCCTTAAACTCCATACATTTTAGTTGTCTCCCAACGCTTTAAAGTTCATCGAAATTTGGTCTCACAATCGTCCATTTTCTAGGACTGACTGGAAGTCCAATGTAATATTCCCAAAATCTTGAGATCTCGAGGACGAAAATCTCCCATCTATAAGCATATGTAAGCATTTGCATTGAGGAATGTAAGGAAAAAATAGCGGGAAACATACAAAGTGACAGGAGATCTAAACCATCCCCAAAGAACATATTTGGTGATGTTCCACGTCAATCTTAATTCTTTCCGGAACAGTTCCGAGACGGTAGGCTCCTTTTCCTGCAACTTCACCTCCTCATCATATTCCGCAAAATCTTTTGCTATTGGATCTTCATGGACCTCGTCAGGAATAACATGATGTGGTTTCGTCACACGATCTGTTAGCTTAACGGCCTCTTCAGGCTCATTCTCCTCTGCTTCCACCAGAGTTCGGAACTCATTGATAGCGCGGAGAGAATGGGAAATACGACCCAAAGTATTAAACAGAGCGACAAGTTCAGTTCGTTTCAATATCGGGACGTCCAAAGAATTATTATCGGTTTCAAATAAAACTTTTAGCGCTGCTCCGTAACCTGCGGTTTGGACTTTGCCCCAGAGCCGACATTTATCACAACCTACACAATCCATGATTCGACTGATATTTCTGAATCGATTGCGGAAATCTTCTTTCAAACTTGGACCTTCTCCATTAACAAACATCAAGCTTTCATCGAAAATTCGAGTCTCCTTGGATGCTTTTGACATTAGAGTTTGCACCTTGGATTGGGTAAGTTGATCTTGAGCTGGATCTCCAGAACAGAAAGTGTAGTCCTTAAGCGAAGGGCCAAGTTTTGTAACGGCTCGTAGAACAAGAGCGTAATTGAAGTAAAGATTCGATACACGTTCTGGAAAGCCATGTAGGCGGTCTTTGTAACACTCAACATTCATGCCCCATTCACCTGTAGTTTGATTCAAATACTCGTAGCAGAGATGCGTGCTAATGGAGGTGTGCATACCAGAAATGACTCTATAGAAGACACGTTTCTCCAAACACTCATCCTCCAATTCAAGACCAGTCTCTGCTACGAATGGGAGATTTGGGGAATGCTCTCGTTGTTCTTCCAGGATGTGTTGGCGACCATGTTGTTTGAGAACAGACTTGAGTTCATTTGCCGCGGGCTCTTTCAGAGATAATGGAGAGTGACCAAGGGATTCCGAATGTGGGAAGGATGCTTTTGAAAAGCAATTTTCTCGATAAATGGCATCCCAGACTTGTTTCGTACCCTCACCAGCATATCCGGTAAATCTCTCCGGGTTGTCCACCAAACTCACATAATCTCCTTTTGATCCTGCGCCTTCGTCGTCCGGTACACAGTAATCTCTCTCGTCACATTCGTCATCGTATTCTACCACACAACTCTCTCCCACATCCTCGCCGAGCTTTCCTTGAAGTGGTTTCTTTGGACGCTCTTGTTGTAATTTCTTGCCCGGATGACCGGCTTTTGGTCCTTCTAGTTTCCCCAATTCCTCTGCCCTCCATACCAGGGGTATATCTTCTTCATTGTCCAGTGTATTCACGGCGCAGGCAATGTTGCCACACATGCCATTCTCGTCGTTCCAAAATGGACATTCCTTACCGAACAAGTTCAGACGGTAATAGGCAAAGAAATCGGTGGTTCGTGTGAGGTCGTCTAAGGAAGGTGATATTTCTCGGTTCAGGTCATCGAGGGAGGCATATGTCGTACATGCATCCGAAACGATAGCTTTTGGGGAGATCTGAGTAATGGCATTAGACACATATGCCTGGTAAAAGAAAAGTAAAGCATACCGCGCAAACATCTGGACTTTGAATAGTCTTTGATTTGGATGAAGAATCAGAAGCTTCTACATGAGGAGTACAAGTACTCAAGAGAGTAAATAAACCCAGGTAGAATGCTCGAGCGGCGGTCTTCATGATGAGACTGACACTTGGCCTTTTGTTTGATATATTAGATGAATTTCATTCAGGCACAAGTGAAAAGCTTCGGAGTTTCCAAAGTAGGACGTTGAATTATACAGAAATATGATAGGGTGGGAATATGAGGAGGTTGATGTATTGAGAACCTATTTTGTCGATTTCTTGTAACTCTGAAAGGAAGGTCAAGATAAAAATAGTTTATATGAGATGGAAGAACAATGACAACCTTTCCGAGTAGATTCTTCTAGATGGTAGATTGTGAATTAAAGACACCTTTCAATAAACAAATGTAATGTAAAAGCATGAAACTTTTGTTCTTTTGGTTTTTGATTTTAATTTTGATATTCAATTAAATACACATAATCCGTCACTAGTTATATAAACATATATGATGATTTGAAAGCATATGATGATGCAGGTGTTTCGAGTGTTTTTACAATCTGTCCATTTTGAAGGAGCCGGAGTGGCTCGAGAGTGGTTCGTTATCATTCATTCATTCATTCATTCATCCATCCATCTACTCGTATCCATCTACTCGTATCGGATCTTCAGCCCGGAGATCAAACAGTGCCACTTAAAAAAAGCCATGGAATCCATATGTAAGGTTAATGGAACATCAACGGAATATCCAACCGAAGATTCAACGGGCCGGATCATGGTGTTGATGGCATAAATACCAAGTAGACTCCTCCAGCTATCTCGGGTTCCAAGGTTACCATTAATAGAATTGGCTTCTACAATGTCTTGTACTAGATTAGATCTACACTCGAAGGTGTCGCCATGCATCCTCCCGTTTCTTCTTCTATCCCTCCCATTTTACACATTCACGTTCAAAGGTTACTAGGTACCTACCTCGTATTTACCAAGCACCACATCAAAGGACATGCGTGAGAATCAAATGTTATCAAACATCATCATCACCTCATATCCACAACATACCAAGTTCAACGAGCGTGATGACCTGCTTATAGTCCTTCGCATCATACGACCATTTCCTCATACCATCTCACCAAGCACGGAACAACTGTCACACAATCACACTATATCAAAAACATACATGTAGATATGATTTATTGTTTTTTTGGTAAACCCTTGCCTTCGAATGAGAGTGCAATAACCTGAGAACCGTCGCCTCCCCTTGCAACCCCTTCATCGTCCTCCCGTTTTGCATGTACTTATGCTGAACCTGCCACCATACATCATCCGATCCTCAGTATTGGTTTCTTTTCTGCTTTTCTACACTCCCTAAATCCATTGCAACCAGCCCTAAAAAGCCTTGCTATCATTAACTTCCCAAGATGAACTAGGACCAGTATATAGCAGTGGAGATGATGTTAATTAATCCTGATCTAATACATCAAACGAATAATTGAGAACCATAAAGTGTAAGTCGTGTAAGTTAGGAGAGACATCAGACGTAACATCGTCAAAGCATATGTCCTCCTGTATAAGGTGTTATGCTGAATCAAAAGACTCGTTGAGATCGAGTTTGATTCAAAGCAGCATATTTACTGTTGTTGAGTTGGTGGTTGATAATTAATAGATCTCCTAAATAAATCCATTAGCGTTTGATGAAGGTTGAGGGGAATGTCCTAGTAACGTACTTGAAGAGTAGAATATGTGGTTCTGGTTCATGTACCTCATAATGTTCCCAACCAAGACTCTATTTTCACCTGATCAGTTCCATTTCTTTTGGAGGTCAACTTTTCTCTCTGCATACCTGTGTAATTCCCAATGCTCTCCATTCTTCCTCCCACAATAGCTTCAAGGTACCAGTTTGGGGATCATGGTATTCCTTTGGGATAACTTTCAGCATAGCTTTTGGTAGTTGAACATGTCGGTACTCGTATTGGTCGTCAGAGTATCTATAAGAACGGATAAGTGTTTGCGCGACGGAAGGAATTAGACCCAAGGTTTGCGCCATAGCTTGTACTGACCTTGCGGAATAATGAATTGCATCAATGAATTCATCCAAACGCTCCTTCTCGGCCTCGGAAAGTGGTCTCGCGTACTTGTTTCTTCTGGTATAGTCTATTTCGGCCATTGTGCTCTGAGTTCTATTCTATTCTTGTAGTCGCGATTGATGAATATTGTCAAACGTATAGGTGGGGCAACAACGCGACAGAGAGTATTTTGAAGGTTGAATCGACGGACTCGAAGGTTGGATGAATGTTCTGTGGTGTATGAGGTCTTGTCTTATCGAGACCGATGACGATTATATGATTGGCGCCGGCGCAAATGTATATGGTATTCGATGTAGGAAGGCGTCGAGGGGTTGATTGGCTTGAGATTGCGCTTCTTTTGCGGTGAAGAAAAGTATATGCGAAAGGCAAAGGGACGTAAGTATTGGAAAAAGTGATTGGAAAATTGTAATTGATTGAAGACAAAAGAATTCCTCAAGCAAATTGTAGTGACTGCAAATAACTTGTTGTATTTGTTTGTGTATTGTATGTGACTTGTTGTGAAATTGAGTTGATTGATTTAATGAGTTGCGAAAGTGTTTATTTTGTTATTGGGATATCAGAAGTGGACTCGGGAGGGGGGTGGTGGTGTAAACAAATAGAAAAGGTCTTGGGTGAAAAGCTCAGTGACCTTTTACTTGTTTGTGTCGGGAGGTAAAGTGGAGTCCAGCCTTGTTGAAAGGTTGAAGCACAGCCTTGTTGAAAAGTTTGAAGTGCAGCCTTGTTCCTTTCATTACGTGTGTCCAATCAAACCACCACTGCAGGTAGCATGGCATGGCATGACCAAGACTTTTTATGACAGCCTGAGGCATCATCACCTTCTCTCGAACCGTCATGTGATACAACCCTCCAATTCCAATTCATTGCCAGGACTGACACTGACTCTGAATGTTTTATCGCTTCAGTGGATGTTGGAAACTGTTGATTGATTGAGTTGAGTTGAGAATACAAATTGCAACTTTCCTTGATACAAATCTGGCCAACATTGAATTCCCAAGACATTCTCTGAAATTCCAGTTCTACATGATACTCATCCAATACTCCAATCCGAGGAAATTCATTGATCATTATCGTATCTTCATCCTTGTTGCGTGGTAAATCGGAGCAACCAAATCAAAAGATCATTACCCCTGCATATCTCCCCATCAGTACTTCGAAGTTTGTAAAGCTTCAGAACGCGCATATTCGGCTTTGACGCGTCCGCATTCTTCATTGGAATTTCGCATCAATTCGCAGATTCGCAGATTCGATTCAAGTACATCTGCGAAAAAGTACACGACGAGTCATCATCCGAAACCGTACCGTACGATACAATACAACACGACACGGCACAAGACGATAGATAACAAGATGGATCCAAAGAGAAAGGTTAATGGTGATAGCGCTGCGGATCAAGATGATGCGGATCGCGCTGCGAAGAGAAGAAAGCTTCCCATTGTAAGTTTGCGCCTATTTCGTGGTTGATATTGTTGCGATTCGATGTAAGACAGAAGATTCAAAAGTTTGGGTGCATTGCTCGTGGGGTTTAAATAACTACCAGCTCTTTCTCCATTGGCGGCCAGGGAAGTGAGCCGGCGCACAACCACTTCTTCTTATACTTTCTGTCAATCATCCTTCATAAATACAATGAATGCGAAAATGACAAGAGAACGAGACTAACAATGAATAGAATGGTGATCTAAGCCAAGGTCAGACACCAGAAACAACAACGTACTATGGATTGATACTTTTGAATCAACTGAGGGCGGGTCTGGATAAACAGTAGGTTAACCTCTCTCTAAATGATTTCTTTTCGCGATAGATCTGCTATCACCAATCTTGGGTATGCGATGGAGGGGTCGTCGTGTACGCACATTTGGCTACCACCACGATTATCACCTCCATTGCTCTAAATTCACAATTAATATAACTCCTTCAATTCTCAGTACAACCCACTAATAGCTTTATCTTTTTATAGGGGGCGACCTTTCGCGACCAATTTCCTCACCCTCCCCGATAGAAAAGAATTCGCCGCCTATTATGCCGTTACGAAGATGCCAATCGCCTTTGACACCATTCAAGAAAAGTTGGACAATTTTGCCTTTGCTACTTTATCTGAACTTGAGAGTTTCTTCAAGCGGTTGGTAAAAAACGCAAAGGATTACAATGAACGAGAATCTATAATCCATCGCGATGCTGAACGGATAAGAAAGGCAGTAGTCAAATTTATGACGGACAATAATCCAGAATATAAGACAAATCCAGGAATGAAGTTAGAGCCTACGCCTATTGAAGTTCTCGAACCGATCGAATATAATCCGGGTTCTAAACCTGCTGGGTCTATACCAGCACATCCTAAGCATGTTGAGCCCACGCCTGTACCGATTGTGCAAGATGATAGTGATATAGATGCGGAAGGAGAGCCAGAAGATTTTGAGGCGGAAGAAATAAAGATTGAGCCACAACCAGTCATAAAACGAAGAGGTCGACCCCCAAAGAATCCCTTGGCACCACGTAAGAGCACTACTCCCGCAGTGTCCGACTCACAATATGCTGGTATCAGCTTTGCGGGACTTAGTTTCCAACAAGCGCAAGAGAAGATTTTAGCAGATGTTCTCTCACATAAAGAAGACCCATCGTAAGTACACTGAATTACATTATTGACCTACGCTAATTATCAATTTAGTGATGATTTCTTTGAGTTTGAACCATTTGTTTCACTACCTCCACGTAGTCTGAAGGACTATTATCAAGTGATCCCAAACCCACACTGCTTGAAGGATTTGCAAAAGCGTGTTAAAGGAACTTTTGGGGGAAAGAATGCCACGGGTGTCAGCGATTTTAAGTCATGGGCTGCTCTTGAAGAAGATGCAAGTTTGATATGGAAGAATGCATATCACTACAATGAAGACGGAAGTGATATCTTCAACCTAGCAAGAGATCTTGAGGTACGTGACCGCCCTCTCATTTGCCACTTCTTTATTAACAATTTTGTCAGATCTTTTTCAAGAAAACTTTGGAAGAAGCTAAGAAAGTTGTGCCCGAGCCCGTGATTCCAAAGATAAAAATTAATGTTAAGGCTCCTGAACCTACTCCGAAGATCACTTTGAGAGTCGGAGTAGCTAGAGCAGCGGACTCACCGGCTCCATTGACTAGTGGTTCCAACGGAACTGTAGCTTCTACAGCCTCTTCCAACAGCGAGACCCGTAGAAACCCATTTGGTGGTTCCCACTCAGTTGCGACGCCTGCTCCAAGACTAGACCAATTAGAAAGAGCTAGGAGTATGTCAAATTCTGCAGCATCTCCAACCCTTTCTAAAAGTGTACTTGTAAAAGGCGAGGAAGCTTTGTGCAATTCGCCTGCCCCAATGCAATCCACTCCAAGGCTCATCAATCAAACCGGCTCGACGCCAACACCGGCTCCAAGTAACATGCTTCCACCAAATACACCCAGTGCATCTAATCAAAACTCATATAATCAAGGTGGCTATGCACAATCATTTAATCACCAACCCGCAAATCTTGGGTTTGATTCCAAATTCAGGGCACCAGGGAAAAGTTAGTATAATTTTTCTTGTACTCAGCTACAGTGCTAACAAAAATTAGATGCTTCTCATGCTATGATCACAAATCTGAGTATCGCAACTCATCCACGTCTTAATGTTTCTCGTCATTTCCATATGGATCTACCCCCATCCGCAACATTGGCGCAACAATCTATCACGATCAACCTCCCTTCGACGCATTATTATCTTCAAATCAAACCAACAATCGCTCAAGCTTTACTCGAGCGTCAATATAAGATCTTTGTTACGTCTGGAGTAACTAGATTGCATGCTATACCACTCATACCAAATCATGGAGTCGACCCCCGACAACCTCTTTTTGAAGCTCGGCTTGTTCCTGGTGTTAACAAGATTGAAGTTGAATTAATTGCAGCCCTTCCTAAGGGTACAGTAAAGCCTGCTGGTGGGCCTGAAGTTGAGATAGAAAAGGTCACAGTGTTTGCTAATTTGATGAGAAACTGACAAGAGTATTGTTTTGTAATCCAAGGCTATGAGACTAACCTACGGTAGCAATGGTAGGCGTTATTTTGGCATTCTGATTTTCTGAGTCTAAGATTAAATATTAGGGGGCGTCTAAGAGGCCTATAGCAATTTTGTGGTTTGGCAAATGGTGAGGTTTGGCATTGTACAAGTAATTTATGTATCATAAGAAAATGGGGACGGCCATGATATGATAATAGAGCTGTGTTAGATATCCAGTTCTGGAGTTTGAGAGGGGAGAAGAGGCACATGTCCTTGGCGCGCGCCATATAAGTACTTACAACATTCAGTAGAAATATGAACAGCGAAGAAGCCCAATTTCCTAATAATTAAGCCTGAGTTTCCAATACTTCACGTGAATCTATCCAAGCTATCAGATATGTGGTGGTCGGCCTTCGATAACTCGGTCAACTGGCTCCAGTTTGTTCGCTGGATGACCGACCATGAATTTGGTTACCTAAATATTGCACATGAACTTGGTTATTATCCTATCATTCAACTGGCCTTATGCAACTTTCGCCATATTCAAGCCCGTTGACACTTCTATCCCACACTAATTCTTAGAGCTTTCTTTCCATCGATCGTGTTTAGTGTGCCTGATATTCGGACCGCAATCGAATTTCATTCTCCAACGTCTAAAAGGATCAGAATTTTTCAAAGTTTGGTATTGTAAAAATACAAGCCGGGTAATTGGATATTCTGGCCATATGTCTACAGGCAACATCTCTGCTTTAATCCGCACGGAGGTAAACACATCATGAATTTCTCTTTCTTCTCGGATGTATGTAGTGATTGAGACTACGCACTTCGACGCTTCAATGAGTGTGAGTTCAGGAGTCGATTTGATTTGGAAATTTACGGGAAGAGATTGGGGAGCGAGGGAACGGTGGATTGCTTTGTATAGATGTAATGTCTGAGGTTAACTAAAATATTGGAGATACCCAGGTGGGATTCAACGTTGTTTTTGCTGCTAGACATAAACATTTGTTTTACGTGAGTAACTTTTGATGAGAATGGATATGCGACAGCAAGGAGAGCTCGGCTCAGAGAAAGGGGTCTGTTGCAACAGTATTTTACCACTTATATACTAATATCAAGAACGCTGGAATTCTATGCACCGATGAATCTTTGCTGTATCGCCATTCAAGCTGGTCAATATGATTTCCGTTCATGTAAACGATCAAACCCGAGGACCAACGTAAATGACAAATCGCACAGTGCAGTTTGGGAGGAAGCTGATAACTTGGTGTGGCCTTTATGGCCGGGGATCCAATTATGAAAAATGCTTTCTCGAAGAAGAACATCTTGCATATCACCCTCTATGAGAAGGATTTGAAGAAATCGAGACACCCCTATCGCGCTCGCTAACACATGAATACTTTGACTTAATTGCCAAGAATCGCGATTTACATATGATCCAGAAATCCAAGTTCAAGTTCGCCGGTTAAGGTGAAAGCAGCAGGAAGTTTACCTGTGGTCCTTTCCTGCACTACAGCATTGTAACAGAAAGATCAGGATATCAAGATCTAGCTTAATGAAGTGGCTTTCTTAGGCACGAAGGGGTCTCCTAATTCGATTCAAATGGTGTGATTGCATGATGATCTGCATAGGGCAATGAAATCATATTGTATTTCAGCAAACAACCTCCCAGGAGCTACCTTTGCACAATGGTTGTCTCCGAGTACTGTCAAAGGCTTGATTTTGTATGAAGAGGAAAAAACTTGATTTTCTGAAATGGTATATCCACAGAAGATTCAGAAGATAATTTTCTCGCTAGTTATGAAGTGCACCTCTTCAATCGCTAATAGTGTATCTTGGGCATATTTCCCACCCCTGACTATTCTTCTCCTGAACATGTACTGTTTCTAGCCTATGTCTACTTCTTTCTCTCATCCTAATTACCATCCTCTCATCGCTGACCGTTTCATCCCCGGCATTGGCCATTCTTCCCTTACTTACCTCCCGTGCATAAAACACCCCTCTGTCATTCTTGACTACCCCCCCTCAACTTCGACCATTCATCTCAAGCCCTAATTGTTTAACATTACTCGAAGTGTTACTACGGCAGTGTACATAGCAGGACCCTTAATTGGCGAAGCGATTTTGAAGCGAGAGGGGAGTGAAGACCAGGAAACATGTACCAGATTGTAGACCCATTTGCAGTTGCTATAATTATCGACCGTTTGAACATTAGCACCCTTTCAATTTCAGAAACTTTCCGTATTTGGGTATTAAAGTCTTGATTGTACGTTTTTAGATCTCATGGTTCCGTTGAAGGATTGAGGAAGCGAGGTGGACACACGGTTTGCTTCGATCGACCGAAATATTATGCTACCCTGATGAATTGTGCAGTCGATACTCACTGGAGATGCCTGTCACTAATAAGTAGAAGTCTTCTTTATCGTATTTCCACAGATTCGTAATATCAAGGTCTTATAAAGTTTGAACAATTGAATACTATTTAAAAGTCTAATTATAGTTACAAATCCAAATGAACTTATACATGCAGATTGCTCTCTTCTCGGTCTGCAGGATCATATACATGGTTCCAAAACCCTAGCCCTAAAGTATTACTAGGGGGATGATTATGCAGATCATCCAGATTCCAAGGAGATGTTTATCGATTGAATGCGAAAGAAAAGCAAGTCAACTTCGAGAATAATATGTAAAACGTTCAAGCAATCAGATGTATATACTACTTAGTATCTACCTGCGATTCTTTGCAAGATTCTTCTCCTTGCTCCTCCGTTATCACCCCGCTATCGCTATCGGCAAAGAGTGAATTTTTATAGGCAGGTCAACCATTCAGAAATTCTGAAGTTGATTGATGGTTCCACATTGTACAATTGAACATCAAGTATTGGGCACGGTAAATATGAGAATGGAGTCAAGGGATCTGAGTGATTCCTATAATAGCTTAGTAAAATGTAAATGCCTGGGTAATAAGAAGAGCTAGCAATTTTTTGCTTGTCGTGAAAATTTCTATTGCGAAAATCACGTGTATAGTGGGAGCGAGGCGAAAGGGCACGGACGAAGAAATTAGCTCAATGAAAAATCCCACTGGATTTTGGTAAATTTATCTTCTCTCTCCCCGCGATCAAATTTCAATCTTCTTCTTTTTTCCCTCCTTCCATACCGTCTTCTTTGAAGTATTTTATTACCATAAATTCTTCTTCTACCCCAATACATTCTTCAAGATGGCCGACGAAGTTTACGAGGGTGCCATTGGTATCGATCTTGGTAAGATACGATTTTCCTCCGAATTTTGAAGATTGTGGATGAGGGGCATGATTCTCTCTTTGTCAAAATCTTCAAAAATCTCGCAATACTTCTTCAATATCAATAAAGAATGCTAATCATCTACAACGCGCAGGAACCACATACTCCTGTGTTGCTGTTTACGAGGGTACCAATGTTGAGATCAGTACGTATTCCTCTTCTCCCGGAAAATCGATTTCGCAAATCGGGCTTCGACAACCGAGACTTAATACTGATCGATATCACCAGTTGCCAACGAGCAAGGTAGCTTCACCACCCCATCTTTCGTTTCCTTCACCGACAAGGAGCGTTTGATCGGTGAGTCTGCTAAGAACAATGCCGCCATGAACCCAAAGAACACCATCTTTGATATCAAGTCAGTATCTCGACTTTCGCGACTACAACAAGATGTTAATGGATATACAGGCGTTTGATCGGAAGAAGATTCGATGATCCCCACACCACAAAGGTATTTACTCAATTTTACTTCATTAAGATTCCCAGAAATTGAAATATGTCGGATTTTGCAACGAAAATTCTTCATTTTTCTCCCGAATGTCTTGATATCAACAAGCAGTCACTAACACATCTTCTAGGATATTCAATCATGGCCTTTCACCGTTGTTGACAAGGATGGATCCCCATTCGTTCAAGTTGAGTATCTCGGAGAGGAGAAGACCTTCTCCCCACAAGAGATCTCATCTATGGTTTTGACCAAGGCAAGTTTTTCACACCCCACTCCTCGGTAGCGGGTTTGCTAACAATACTTGAATTGCAGATGAAGGAAATCGCCGAAGTTAAGTTGGGCAAGAAGGTTGAGAAGGCCGTCATCACTGTTCCAGCTTACTTCAACGACAACCAACGTCAAGCTACCAAGGATGCTGGTGCCATCGCTGGTCTTAACGTTCTCCGTATCATCAACGAGCCTACTGCTGCTGCCATCGCTTACGGTCTCGGTGCTGGAAAGTCCAACAAGGAGCGTAACGTTCTCATCTATGATCTCGGTGGTGGAACTTTCGATGTTTCCCTCCTTAACATCCAAGGTGGTGTCTTCACTGTCAAGGCTACTGCCGGTGACACCCATTTGGGAGGTCAAGATTTCGATACCAACCTCCTTGACCACTTCAAGAAGGAGTTCACCAGAAAGACCAAGAAGGACTTGTCCAACGACCCCCGTGCTCTCCGTCGTCTCAGAACTGCTTGCGAACGTGCTAAGAGAACCCTCTCCAACGGTGCCTCCACCAACGTTGAGATCGACTCTTTGTTCGACGGTGAGGACTTCAATGCTCAAATCACCCGTGCTAGATTCGAGGACCTTAACGCCAAGGCTTTCTCCGGTACTTTGGACCCTGTTGCACAAGTTCTCAAGGATGCCAGCATTGATAAGAGCAAGGTTGACGAAATCGTTCTTGTCGGTGGTTCTACCCGTATCCCAAAGATCCAAAAGCTCTTGAGTGAGTTCTTTGACAACAAGAAGTTGGAGAAGAGCATCAACCCTGATGAGGCTGTTGCCTACGGTGCTGCTGTTCAAGCTGGTATCCTTTCCGGAAAGGCTACCTCTGCTGAGACTGCTGACCTCCTCCTTTTGGATGTCGTCCCACTTTCCCTCGGTGTTGCCATGGAGGGTAACATTTTCGCCCCTGTCGTTACCAGAGGTCAAACTGTCCCAGTATGTAAAATCTTCACAAAAAATTTCAGCGGCAATACTGACTCATTTAATCTAGACTATCAAGAAGAGAACCTTCACCACTGTAAGTTTATTCCCTCTACACATGCTTCCGATTCTTCAGTTTCGGCTCAACATTTGGCCCCGTTTCATTCTTCAACCTTGTCTGTTTATTTGAGCACCTTTGAATTTTTAACCCTGTCTGAATATCCGAACCTGTTTGAATATCTGACCTGGATTGAATATTCGAATTCGTTTGAATTCCTGACTTGGGCTGATTGTCTGACTCGGTCTGAATGACCGATCTGGTTTGAGTATCCCACGTGATTTGAACATTTCACGTGTCTTCAACCTTTGACTTCAAACATCAACCCCCTCTGTACTTCTTGTATGTTTAGACACTTGCTAATGCCCTCAAAGGTTAGTGACAACCAACAGACCGTTCAATTCCCTGTTTTCCAAGGAGAGCGTGTTAACTGCGAAGACAACACTTCCCTCGGAGAGTTCACCCTTGCTCCTATCCCACCAATGAAGGCAGGTGATGCAGTTCTCGAGGTCGTCTTCGAGGTCGATGTCAACGGTATCTTGAAGGTCACCGCTACCGAGAAGACCTCTGGACGTAGTGCCAACATCACAATTGCCAACTCCGTTGGTAAGCTCTCATCTTCCGAGATCGAGAAGATGGTTGCAGATGCTGCTGAGTTCAAGAGCAGTGATGATGCTTTCAGCAAGAGATTCGAGTCCAAGCAACAACTCGAGTCATACATTTCAAGAGTTGAGGAGATCATCTCCGACCCAACTATGTCCATCAAGTTCAAGCGTGGTAACAAGGAGAAGATTGAGTCTGCTTTGAGTGATGCTATGGCTCAACTCGAGATTGAGGATTCCACTTCTGATGACTTGAAGAAGAAGGAGCTCGCTTTGAAGAGAGCTGTCACCAAGGCCATGTCCACTCGTTAAAGCGTGATTTGAGTCATTGGGTGGTGGAGAGGAATGTGGAAGAAGTTATTGATGCATATGAGTTCATGACACGGATGAAATGGACTGGACCCTCTGGTCACAGGCTCATATTGGGTTTATAAAAAGTCACTTATCCGTTATTTGCATGGTCGTCTGGCTATTTTACGGTTCTGATATTTCTTTGATGTTTGTCTACAGGCATAAAAAGATTGCCCGTAGACCAAGGGGTGTTAATAAGCAAAAAAATATCAAATTGATCACGTTAAAAACTTTATATATGTTCCAACTATATGCTATGTTGTGTTGATGTTGAAAAAGCAAACCTGGAAAAGGTGATGACAAGGAAAGTTTTCCAATTCAATTTTCGAACGTCTGTCTTAAATTGAGACAATGCAAGCGCTTCGAACATGCGGTCTACATTACGAGAAGGTAAAGAGATAAGTTCAAATTCCACGATGATGGCGTAACACCGCTTCCTATTCGAAGATGCTAGAGTTTCTCTATTACATTAATACTATGAGAATTATCAAGATATAATCTAGAGTACACCAAATACGAACCATGAGACTACACGGTTCCAAACAAACGAGACTGTTCATGCATTCCAAAACCCAAATTCAAGATTGAAAAACGTGGCACAACGACCCATCAATACGCCTCTTCAAGTATTTAACAATATGATTTTCATATGTCTCAATAAACCAAGTACCCTCTGACCCATTTGATTTCCGTTCAAGCAACTAGCTCATATACGACGCTTGTTCTCTTCTCTAAACTCCTTCTGTTGCCCCGACCACCAAGCTTCTTTAACTCCATAATCTCGCCTATTCTAAAGTAGCATCCTCAAGAAGGTCCTACAAAGCAGGCCATGCTTCTAAGCATAGAGCATCAGGGGAATGATGACTAATTGGGTGGTGGTAACGAAAATATTCAATCCAACAATTGGAGGCACCTTCTGTTACTACCTCGAGAATGCGGAGGTATCCTTTGTGGATAAAGTCGGATGGTGTTTGGAATAGAATATCAAGTTTAAACCATTACAATATGGTGATTTCTAATGAGCGAATCGAATTCAGAACATGTGATAAAGATGGAGAGAAGATTCTCAAATGAAGAGTTCGAGATCGAGATCGAGAGTTTATTTTGAGGTATGCGGGGTGCATGACGAAGGAGAAGGAATGCAAGGCATAGTACAGGCCATGATCTTCGAAGGGATTATATCGATTAGCTAAGAGGAGAGAAGATGGAGGCGGCTGGTTATTGCCTCCTGCGTGGTTAAGGTAGCGTGGAGAGAGATGGTAGGTTTGAGAATGTGGTCTTCGAGGAGGGGGAAGGAGGCCCTGGTGGTTGGAGGGTGAACATGCTCATAATCTTTGTACCAAGACTGTTCATGAAAGGGCCGAAGTTCAAGAAGAGCGAGAAAGACTCGGGTGAGGATATCAATCGAGATTTCATAAGAGAGGCCGTCGAGGCTGTGGGTTCACGGTGGGTTGGATGTCGTAAAAATGCTGCCAATCACTTTTGCAGATTGGAGATAGGGATTATTGAAAAAGTTACAATAGATGCATTTGCCTTAGATATAAGAAAAGACATGTATATGTATTCTCACTTAATCAATCATAAAAGAACATGATGTTTGGGATAATAGTACACCTTGCTGTCGGCTAAACTAATCGAAACCCCTCACTCTGCATGAAACTAGACGAATGTAGCTGCACAACTTTATAGAGTTTTACCATCTTAACAAAAATGCATATATTCAACATGCATGCAAGTGTTTAGAAATCATACAATGAGCTCCTCCCCTGCTAGATATTTAGGAGCAGCATTCTATTCATTAGCTTATGTATGAATGAAGAGAACAATACATGTCACATCAGACAAACAATGCTTCAGAGTTGAGAATATCTGACGATCATGTGTGATCGACTCCAAATTGATATTATCATAAATGTCAATATATACTCAGATGTTCTCAAGATGTACACCATTCAAGGCCGTCTCGGGGTCAAGTGAAGCTCGCCTCGAGCTCGCTCAAACGCACGTACCAGTCCCCGCAATATGCAGATCCATTAAGGCTGAAATATTGTTTTCAAGACAGACGAGGCCTCAATCCCGCCTTGTCTAAAATTCTCACAATCACAATTCAATTCTCGATTGTTCCGCACATTCCTCACAAAATGCCACCTCGTATATCTCTGCGTTCTGCTCAGGCATTGAGACGTAACCTTCTAAGTTCCAATTCACAAAATGCATCAATTTTAGAGATACGACCCCTCCAATTGAGCCTACCCACTCGATATCAAAACACCCCTCACTACCGTTCCCTGAGCAGCAGCTCTTCTCTCCAATTCCACTCTACCCCAACATTTCTCAAGAAGAAAGATAAGAGCAATAAAAATTCTTCATCCGAATCAGATAATTCCTCCTCCACCTCTTCCTCGGCCGCAGCAGAAGACAATGATCCTTTTGATTTTTCCACACTACAAGCTGGAATTGACAAATCTCTCGAGAAACTCAAGAATGATTTAGGGAAATTACGAACTGGAGGAAGGTTCAATCCAGAGGTATTAGAAGGACTGCGAGTTAAGTTAGGGAAAGATGCAAAAGAAAGTTTTCGGTTAGGCGATTTGGCGCAGGTGTTGCCGAAAGGGGGACGAAGCGTCGTTGTGCTTGTTGGGGAGAAGGATGTATGTTGATTATTTCTTCTTTTTGTGTTCTACATACTTTCATTCCTATACTCTTCATCCACGTCCCATATTTTAAACAGCAAATACAAACTAACCCTCAAACCAGCACATCAAACCTATCCTCTCCACCATCCAATCCTCCACCCTTTCCCTCCAACCCACACCCGATCCACACAACCCTCTCGCGTTAAACATCCCCATACCGCCACCTACCAAAGAATCCCGCGATGCAGCACTGCAAGCAGCTTCAAAAGCAGGAGAAATGGCTAGTAATGGAGTTCGTAATGCAAGAGGAGCAATGCAGAAAAAGTTAAGAGCAATGGAGGTAAAGAAAACGGTTAGACCTGACGATTCAAAGAAGGCGCATAAGGAGATGGAGAAGGTTGTTGAGAAAGGGAATGGGGAAGTGAAGAAGATCGTTGATGCGGCAAGGAAGGGTATGGAGCAGGCTTAGAGTTAGGGGGGTGGGGTTGTTAGACGAGGGGAGGGGAATGGAGTTGTTAGAAGAAACAAAATAGTCTCGGAGGAGAGAGACGCATGGTCTAAAAGATCTTACAAGCTAGGACTGTGATGATATGGAGATTTAAAAGTTGAATTTTGACGGTGTATGATCTTTTGTACAATACCATTTTTATGTTTTTATGAATACACTGTATAGGACATAGAATTAACCTATATCGTAGGTCCCTTCGCTTTTTTTATATTGGCTACCTCATCAGCAGGTAACATGCTTTGTAGCTTTTCCGCAAATGACCTCGAGTCATCTTGCAAGAAAGTCTCGTTCTTCCTCGAGAGCCTTTCAATTTCACCAAAAATGTTTTTCTCAACATCTCCTGGTTTTGGGTACACACCTGCAACCATTTCCTTCAAAATTGCCTCTTTCTCTTCCTCCTTCAATCCCTCAACCTTATAATCTTTATGGACCTTCCACCTAACCTCATTTCTCCATGCCTCCTCCCCATCCCTCCATTTCTCTAATGTCTCCTTCTCCTCTTTGCTCTCAAATACCGTACCCATACCCCTTTCCAAATTCGCCAAATGTCTTTCCGGCGGGGTCGGTACATCTTTTTGTGCCAATGTTCCGCTCACAACTTGCATCTTATAGATTATCGATTCCTTCAATCCGTTTGTACTCGAACTTGTCGCAATTGCCGGGCCCCAACTCTCCAAATCAGACATTGAGGTGACTGGATTATAAAAGACGAACTCTCCTCCCTCTTGACTATCCAGGTATTGTTGTTCTTCAACTGTATATGGAGGATCATATTCATCTAATTCCACATCTGCGGGTTTAGGTCCTGCACGGAGACGAGATTTTCCTCCGCGTCCTCCACGCCCCCCTCGTCCTCCTCGTGCAGAAGCTCCTCCTGCACCACCGGGTCCACTTCTCATACCTCCTCTTCCAGCCCCGGCACCAAGTCTTCCAGTACCAGCTCCCCCAGAAAGCGCACCCCCTCGTCCGCGATAATTGGGACTATGACGGGCACCAGGTGCTAGAACTCGTGGGCCACTATCATCGATACGGCGGGAAATAGTAAAGGTTTGACCAGGAGGAGGACGTGCTGCTAGTGAGCGAGCGTCGATTCCGCGGGAGGGTTGTGATGCGAGTGAGGAAATGTCGGCTGTGGCAATGGAGCTGCGTTCTGCGCGAGTGGAACGTGGTTGACCTGGCTATTGTTAATTTATTATGGTTCTATCCATAAGCTGGGGTTCCAGGTTCACTGCTTCCTGATCATGCTGAACACTGAGTGAAGCTTGAACCCTCCAAAGAAAGATGAAAACTTACTATCATCATTACCCTTCCCCTCCTCACTCCTCCTGACAGAACTACTAAAAGCCCTCAAACTCGCCTTAATACCCTCCGACACCCTCGTCAAATCATGTCCCAAAGGTCTGGCACCTCCAATCGCTGATTGCACATGCCGTGTAAACATGATGTGTAGCGCTTCTTGTCACTTATCAAATCGTCCTCTCTCTCCCCTCTATCAATCTGGAGATTCTAAAAAAATATTATGTTTGCCTTAGGTATCAATGCATACCGATCAGTGAATTTAAACGCTAAAAGCATGAGGCTATCTGCACGGTTGTTCAGTGTAAACAAGGCAAAATAGTAGCCTCTCACAAATCCTGTAATACGCCCCGATCGATTGTTCAACAAAATTCCTATCACAATCCCCGAGATAGTTTTTTTCGAATTCATGAAGGTCTGAAGTTTTTGGAATTGCGAAGAAAATTATACATTCTGCAAAAGCCCCATATTTGTTAGCGCAAACAGAAGTGCAATAAAACTTTTGGAGAGACAGAGGGACCCCCACGTTTTCTCAGCCTTGGATTGTTAAGGATATCAACAACACACTATCACATTGGTATCCATTTTGAGAATATTGTTTGCGCATACGGCCTGCGACTTGCTACGAGTATAACGGAACTAGAAAAGTTCTTTTCTCTCAAAGAAGTAGACGAGGAACTATATATTTGCTATCGAACACCCATCAAACTCAACATCAAATCAATACCACAAAGCACGAGTTCATTTTATAACCGTTCTCCAACCATATCACCCTCACAATGCTCCGCCGCGCCCCAACAACCATTACTCTCACCACGGAAGATATAGCTATTTACGAAGACTCTCGGCAAGCTGAGCGTGATGAACAAGCAGAGAGAGAAGCCATGGCAGCAGCAGCACGCCACAGAAAAGCAAGACAAAGACAAGATTTTGGAGCTGTCAAAGGGGATAAATACAGGGAGTTGCAGGCGATAGCTGCGCAGAGGAGGGTTGATGCTGCGAGGGAAAGAGCTGCTGGGAGGGGACTGGATCTGGAAGGGGATGGCAATGCGGAAAATGAGAACGAAATAAGTGAGGATGAGGATAGACAGATATTGAGGGAGAGGGAGGAGAGGGCGATGAGGGAGAGACTTAGGGAGAGAGAAGGACAGAGACCCACTAGGGTGTTACAGAGAGCAAGGGAGGAGAGGGAGCAGAGGAGTAGAGAGGAGAGGTTGGGATTAGGCGGTGGGAACGGCAGTGCGTCGGGGAGATGATCTGTGGTGATCGAATGTGGTGGTTTTCTGTTCAATGATTTCATGGATACATTTGGGGAAAAGTATAGGTTGTGGATATATTTGAGTATATGGATACTGGAGTATATTTGGATTATATGGTTGGATGCAAAGGCGTAATGGAGTCACACATTCGATGAACAAAATAAATAATGCTCCCAAAAAGTATGCAATTCGAGATATGAACAAGGCGGCTTGCTGATCGAAATTTAATTGAAACATTAAGCTATCTTACGTTGGCTCAAGAAACCAACTGGTTGTTAAAAATCAACCTGAACACTGAAAAGTGCCACGTCCATTGTGTGATATCCTACCCGTCTGAAATTTTTCCATTGCCCAGCTATTCGCAATCTCCATCATCTCAACTCTCCCAAATCCCTCCCCATATGTGCATCACTAATCCTCCATCCTCATCTTAAACGGACCTTCACTCCTGCACCCTCATCAGCCCTTCTAATCATATATAGCTAATACCTCCGTTCATCCCCACCGGGCTTTGATATCTAAAAGCCCAAGACTACCTGCATCTTCAACTTGAAACTTGAAACGAAAATACACCTTTAGGATATGACATGTTTTTACATTGAAAGGGCTCATGATACAGATGGAGACTAGAATGTCAGACCATGGCAATGAGGGTGAAAAGGCTATGGCGAGGTTATATCAGATATAAAGAGCAAATCATTCGATCAGGACTCTTGATTTGAAGAATGGGCTGAGAAAGGCGTCTTATGTTATACTGTACACCCTGCAAACCTTCACCCCGTTGAAATTTCGAGGGAACCCGAGAAATCAAGCCGCGGAAGCACTCAACAAATATCTAAGCACATCATATACAGTTCACAAAACCAAAATGAAGATACTGATTCATCTGCATTTATTAACTAAGTAATATGGAGTATACGTTTACTCAGTCAGCATCTTATAATCCTCCCATCCTCCCTTTTAGAGAATCATTCAAAGGACAAAGGAAGCCCAAAATTTCTCCGTTCTCGTCATGATCGATTGCAATCATGTGGCAAAAACGTGCTCTCACAAAAACGCCTCCATTTTCTCCTTCCTTCCGGGTGTATACCTCTTGAGAAGAAGCCGGCCAATCCAGCCCCCCCTTATGTACAAATTTGCGAAATCATCCATAACCGAGACGCCTTTTCGCTAAATGCAGATCAATTAATGCCATAGAAAAAAATTGAGGTAAAAAATATAAAGAGAGAAGAAAGAAATTTGATCTTCAATTATATCAAGAGAATGAAGGTTTGGGTTTGGGTTTGAAGTTGAGCTTAATGGTTGTCTTCTTGGGTACTACCGGCGCATCAGCAGAAGTGGGAGGTGCCTGCGAAAGACCTTGTGCCGAATCCGGTAAAGGTTTTCTGCCTTCGGGGAGAGGTTTTCGAATAGTTGCTGCGCCCGGAATTGAACTTGTTGACTTTTTGAAGTTGGAAGAGGTGTGGGTTGACGAACTAGATGAAGTAGAAAGGGCAGGACTAGCCCTAACCGGTTGTGCGGATGAAGGTCTCGGGGAAGGTCTCGGAGATGGCCGTTTTGGGTTCGAAGTGGACTGGGATGAAGATTGAGATTGAGACGATAATGAAGCTTTTGCTGTAGGGTTGGGGGTGGACGCAAGAATTTCTTTCAACTTGGATGGAGGAATCTTCAGTTTAACCATCTTTCTCTGTTTCTTCTCCTTGTGTAGCGAGTTTGAAATCTCATAATGTTTTCTATCTTTATGCAACGAGCTAGAGCCCTCATATTGTTTCTTGTCCCTATGTAGAGAATTGGAACTCTCTGCAATATCAGCCGGAAGAGGTCGCTTAGGTGGCTTCATATCACCGGATGAACTAGAAAATTTGAGTGAACCAGAAGGTTTCGGTGCTACTGAGGGAGGGTGTGTAGAGGTAGAATATTTCGATCCACTTGAAGAGCTTGAAGAAGGCTTAGAAAGTCCAGATGACGATGTTGAGGAGCCTGAAAACTTAGAAATTGCGGATGATGATCCTGAAGAGGTTGAAGACTTGGGGATTCCAGATGATGATGACGATGATGCTACTGCTGAGCTGGAATGCTTAGGGACCCCAGAAGATGATGTGCCTATCTTGAGCCCACCGGATGAGCTGCCAAACTTAAGAGCAGGTGAGTTGTTAAGCTTGATAGCAGATGGTGACCCAAGCTTAATGGCAGATGATGGGGTGCCAAGTTTGATAGCAGATGGATTGTTGAGCTTGTGAGCAGATGAACTGCCAATTTTCAACTTGAGTGGCAGTGATGGTCTTTCTAGCGGTGGTGCTTGAACGGGTTGAGCGACGGTGGAGGTTTCTACTGGTGGATGAGGTGTAGGAACAGCGGCGGGTTTGATCTTGCGAACTTTAGTCCGAACTTTATCGGTATGTTTGAAGACCAATCGACCCTATGTATGATTAGTATAAAGAACGCTACCAGTAATAGTATCATAAAACATACCTTGCCACGATGCTCGACCTTCCAATAACGAGGTAACTTTAGCTTCAAGGTCAGAGACTCCTTGGGATAGCAGAACATTGTGCAGAGTTGAAGGAAATCCATTTGTTCTGCCACTGTGATCACAGGAGAGAGAACAGCTTTCCACAAGGCATTCTTCAAATCAGTATTTCCTCCGACTTCCAACTTGAGTGAAGCCAGTGCGCCAATTACGTTACTGCGCTCGGCTTGTTCCTGACGTGCAGTCGTGGAAGCTTCTTCGATAATCAAGCCATCCTTCGCTACAGGAGCGGCAACTCGTTTGTTTTTGTATTCGCCAAGTCCAAGGACTCCCAGTCCATAATAGAACACCTTTGTCAGTTCGCTTCGGACCCAGGGTGATGGATCTGTGCTCGCAGCAGTCACAAGTAGACACGCTACAGCAGTGCTCTTCAAAAACCCAAGGTCGGCAAGTGCCCAAGCAGCCTTAATTCGCACACGTTGAGCACTGCCATCGTGAAAGTACTGAGCAAAGTCAAGTGCATCCACTGGTATCACACCAGCGTTCATCAACTTCAGCTTACACTCTATGACTGTGACTGTGTAAATATTCTGGTAAGAATCTAGCCACTCATCCATCCTACTATATCTGTCCAGCTCTTCCAAAATTATCGTTCGATAATCTATAATTCCTGCCTTTCCTTCAGTTTCTTCAGCGTCGTCGAGTTGAAGCACGTCATTATTGACGCCCTTCGCACCAGGAATCAAAGAGTTTGCCAACGACTTTAAAATGTTCGCAATCTTGAAACAGTCTGAGTAGGGGTTGTTTCCGTTGTCGTTGAAGCGAAGAGCTTCAATTATGAACTTTTGCGCTGATGAGGGGCAAGTAGAATCGTACATGCTTCTGATCCTTGACACTGCCTCAATAATAGCGCATTCAATCCAGTAAGCTTGCTTGTCAGAAAAATCATTTGCCTTGGGCGTTTTTGCACCCGGAAAGTAAAAGAATTCATGGTAAGCTTTTTCGAGATGCTTAAGACCTATCCACTTTACATCTTTCTCTACTGCGTGCTTGGCAAGAGATTTTGCAGCCATTGCTCGAATGCCATAGAAATAACGCCTGTCCATTAATGTTCTAATCAGGAACGTAGCAACGAGTGGATGAGGAGGAGCATTGTCAAGGTATACCATGGATTCATATTGAGCCGAGATATCGCGATCTTGTTGAAGCTGGGAAACATACATGTATGCTTCCATGCCAGTGAACTTCTTGTCGCAAATCCATTCAAAGTCGGCGTCAACACGAATCCACTCATATGATTCAGCTTCCATCTTCGCTTCTGTGATCGGATCCCAATCTCGTAAACCCCACTCTTGCATATCTTGCGGTGATTGCAGTACATCCCCTAAACAGTAAATGAGAGCGTCGTCATGATTTTCGAGGCCATCCATAGCGGTTCCTGCATTTGCGCGTTCCTTCATACGCCGATTGCGCTTGAGACGTTTGTACTTTGTATTATACGGAATTTCAATTCTTGATGTCTTCTCTCTGATCATAACGATATGTTCATAGGGTGTACCATCAGCCTCATGAATTCGAATTGTCAACGGTCCAGTGAATGTACTTTGTGCTTTTGGTTGATTTACTCCACTATCCGACTCCTTAAAAGCCCTGTAGAAGCCATCCTTGTGCAATTTAGGTTCTGTCTCCAGGTGTGCCTGAGTCTGTGTAATTGTCATTTCCACACACAATCTCTTCTTGTTGAACTTTTGGGTGATAGTAAAGTGTGGACATCCTGAGCTATGAACCCATTGAGTGAAGAAGGAATCTGTATCTCTGTACTTGGTGATTTTCTCACAACTTTTGCGGAACCCTTCTGTCGATATTGTAGAATCGGTGCCTCCATTAGCATTTGCGTTAACAATCATCTTAGAAATGACTCTCGATATACCAGTGCCTCCTTGAGCTTTCGCGATACGCTTGTCCAGGATAAAAAGAACGAGAGGAGCTTTTAACTCCATAAATTCTCGGAAATCATCACATAGATCCACATTCTCACCAAGGGCGTGCAGGGACGGTCGGTCTATATCCAACTTGACAAGTCGTTCTGTATTCAGTTTTTGACGAAACATGAATTCGTTGTTTCCACAAAGATTTTTCATAAAAGTGTTTGTCATGAAATGAGAAATGCCGGCGATGAGCCATCTATCAGAACGACCGTCTGGCACAATGCCAACGCCAACGTATTGGCTAGCAATGGCGTGAACCAGTTTTCTGACAATGTCCATCTCTGGATCGATAATATCTTCCGGGAATAGAAGTCGATTACTGCAAATGGATAGAGATGCGGTGTGTTCCGTGTCATTTACCTGGTCATCAACAAAGACAAATTTTGACTCTGAAAATGGGAAACTGCCCAAACTAAGTACAAAGTGATCAATGGCATGAGCCAATGGTGCACAAGTATTCCTCAATTCTTCTGATCTTCTGGGTAGGCAGTAGCCATATATTGCAGTTGACTGACCTTGCCCAAGTCGTTCTTCATCTTCGCCCTCTCTATATTCTGACAAATCGACTTGTTCAAACGGACCAATGGAGAAACCTACATGTTTTGCAGCTATATCAGAAGTGCATTGAAACGACACAATCTTTTTGGAACTATCATCCAAATCAATCACTTCATCGACTTGTTCACCAGAACAGATCACTGCCATCTCAAGAAGCTTCTCTTCGTCGTTGAGGAAGACTTCATCAATATCTGTCTTCTGAGAAGCTGCATTTGTGTGTCCTGATTTGTGGTTGTGGATGTTGGGTCGTCGCTTGAGTGCATCTCCAAGTGTTCTTGAACACTTGATGGAAATATCCCACGAACATCTCATCGCTGAATCATCAACACAGGGGAAAATACTGCATGCCACGCCTCGCTCTATAGAATGTTTGGTATAAACATGAGGGAATCTCACATCCCCCTCCTCAACTCCTACGAACTGTAGGCCATCTCGAATTTGTGTAGTAACGAAAGGAATAGTGACAGTCAAAGGCTTGAATCTAGATGCCTGTTCTGCAGCCGTCTTCGCGGCAAAAACAGGAAGAGGAGCTGAACCTCCTTCAAGAGCAACTGACGAGTTGCGGGCTGCAGCGATACCACCAGCACGTTGAGTGACCGGGGTTGCTGCCTTTTCCGAGAATGAATCAATTTCTTCAATTTTCACACTATCCGGTAGCTCGATCTCTATCGTACCTTCTAGCTTGTTGTCCGAAGTCATGAACTTCACTCTTTCGCTTTGCATCTTATGCGATTCTGCATCCCATGAAAAATACTCGGGGACTTCCAATTTTTTGTGAGGATCTTCGTACGAGAAAGACGCAACCCGGCCATTCACCAAAACCTCTCTTTGTGGTATAGAGCATTGTCGTGCATGTATGTGTATGGTCTGAAGTTCTTTTGTCTGTGGAAGAATTTCAATGTGAGTTTTACCCCGCAGACTCTTCGTCGAAAAATCAATTTCGAGCTCGACCTTTTGATGTACTACTATGAAGCCATAATCCGCAGGATCTTCCTTCGCGGTTGGCGCACCTTCACGGCCGTCGTGATTCAGTAATAAAGCAGGCATTTTCGAAATGATCCTATCCTGTCGCCACGTATCTTATGGCGAGTTCGATTGTTCTGATTTGATTTGAACGAAGCACACCACTAATATGTGATTTATGCGACTAAGATCTTGCGCTGGCTGGTCTCCCGAAGGCGAGAGCCAGCAAGACTTGAAACCGTGCCGTGACAAACTACCTCCCGCGTATTTTATCCTCGCTATGCCTTATTGCTAATACCCTCGTTGTATTGTGGACAAGTCACGATAATGCGACGCAGAAACAAAGGGCGACGTCGTTCGTGGGTTCGAGAGAATCGCAAATCGTGGCTTATGAGATTGTCGATTAGGCAGTTGGACTTGGACTTCTTAAAGAGAAAAAATTGGTCTGCCAAGATCGTGGCCGTAAGAAAATTGGCAGAGAATTACAAGCCGTAAGAGGGGTGTTGGAAAGAAAGTGATCGTTATGACAATTATTAGACTCTAGGTAGTATGTAGCTATCGTGTCCCACCAATGACGAAGGTATCAAACTCTAGCTTGTGCGCGCATAAGAAATTTTGACGAAGAAAAGTTGCGACTACGTGCGCAAACAATTCTCAGAGGTAAAATACAGTGATATCGAAATCGTACGGACGTGAAAACGGCTGTCGCAGTTGTTGCGCATCGCCTTGATATTATTTATAAAGGTGTCGAGGAACGCGAGGCTGAGGGTGCTGTAGCTTTAACGCGCTAAGCGATATGCATCTGTAGAAGCGCCGCGGCTCCGCCTATTCATTGAACATCACAGGTGATTCATCTCTTTATTAGTTTGAATAGTATTTTTATATTGAGTATATATGTAGTAATCTGCCTACTTTTTTTTTCATTTCGTTACAAGTTGCCTTATTCACCTCGCATAGTAATCTTGACGCCAGATTATGTCGATTTTATATTGGTAGATCAACAATGATCCGATGATTCCACGATCATGATGTTCACTTCAAGTCAAAGGCTACTAGGTAGGTAGTGCATCTTGATTCTGCTCATTTTGTTCTCAAGACCAAACTACGTTCCTCAAATGTTTCCTTCAAAGCTTCCTTCTCACAGTCAACAAAATACTTCGTTGAATCCAAAACCCCATTCCAGTACCTGATTTCTTCCTTCTTATCAAGGTCCATAGGTAAATCAATCCCCAAATGCTTTCCCTTAGCAGCTAGGATCCATAAACCAACTCCCCGCCACTGTCGCTCTTCAGAAAGTCCTCTAGTTCTTTGATGTGTGACTTTTCGGCGACGAATCTGCAGTTCTGCAAAAATTCAGGGATATAGACAATGTTGTCCCGAATAAAAGTCTTCTGCTTTGCTGTTGCTTGATGGTGATATGTAATTTCGTCTTTAATGTCACCTCTATGTAATAAGTATATTAGGACTACTCATCGTTGCAAAATGTGATATCTTAGCACATCGGCATATAACGAAAGACTTTTACTTGTGAATGAGGGATGGTACTTTTCCAGGCGAACAATTTAAGCATAGTCCCAGAACATTTTTCCAACTGCTCGTGTGATATCTTGTGATACTGCGGCTGCCCAATTTTTTTCAACGATTTGTCTTCCATTTCTCTATAGCGTATCAGAAGAGTGTATGGAGCTCTTAGTCTTCAAAAATATATTCACATGTTAGTAGTCCATCATTCAAGTTTTATTCAATTGTGAGTGGTTGAGTAAAGAGGGAAGGTCATACCTCTTGTGCTACAGCTCACCTCCAAATCCACGTCCAGTCTTCGCAATCTCTTCTTTCTCATGTTCCGCCTTCGTAAGTCCAAGAGAAGCGCCAAAACTGTTTTCCTGTGGCCATGGATCATTAAGCACAACTGTGCGTGACTAGTTATTGAGTAAATCATTGACATTTTCTATATCACTGACCATATTGAACGTGTTCGAGGGGATTCAAATTATGGGCTGTAACTAAAAGAATTCGACTCGAGGTTTAATTTGAAAGTGATGCTAAACACCTGCTAGGTAGCAATTGCTGCTTTGCTTCACATCTGACATGGTGGATATCAATGTCTTGAGGCCACTGGGTCTCATTATTCGCGCATATATCAACACTGCCAGATGACCCCTTCAAAAAGTAATCATGCAATATAGACCAAAATAAATTCACTATCAAACTTCCACTTATTGGACAATAGAAAATTGTCTCAGTTGGAACCTCCTGTTCCAAGTATGAATTTAGTTGACATGTAAAATGATTTTAGATGATAGGGTGAGGAAAAAAGAGGTGGAAAAGCGAGGTAAGAAACGATGATAGATGCAGATCATACTCGAGAAGCCGGAGAGTCAAGGGCGACAGAATATTATACACAGCCGGGCATCTCACACAGACACCACTTTCATGGTTTGATAATGATCAGACATCTCGAAGACAGTAACGTAGTATTCATCTAACATAACTTTGTCTTTCATTAGTTCGATCGTATTGTACACATTATACAAGTAATGTTAGCAAAGGTCAACAAATATAACTCCTCAGGACCAATTTTCCCTGGTCATGCATACCCAAGCCACCCAAACCACCATATTGTACATCCCAAGTCAACTGAAGCACTTTCAAATTGACATTTCTCCTATACTCCCAAGCCCTAAAATTGCCCAGAACTGCATATTCAATCTTTTGCAATTCTCCTATCTCTTCTCTTCTTTCTCGCATGAGTTTTCAATGTTTCCTCATCAAGAAATTCCTCCGGCAAGTCAAATTCAGCTACTTCTGGAAGTTCAGGGACGGGATGTCCCCAGGCGGCAACGGTTCTACCACTACGCCTGTGCTTTCCAAGTGCTGCCTCCCGCAAATATGGTTTTGCGAAGAATGATTTGAATTCTCTCTCAACAGCAGGTGCACCAACAAGCACAGAGTTTGTTCTAGCCTTTGGTCGAGGAGTAGAACTGGCGATTGCCTCATCGTGCAGTTGTCTTGCTGCAGAAGCATCGATGTCACTAAGGTCAGGAGGATCACCGTTGCTTTCGAGATCATCCTCCGAGTCCTCACCTTCTTCTGATTCTGCCTCAGCTCTTGCTTGTGCTTCAGCTATGGCGCGTTCTTTCTTCAACTTTCTTTGCTTCTCGTCATCCTTCCAGATCCGGAATTTCTCAAGGATCGACTCGCACCCTTTAACGAAGTATTGTCGTGCCGATTCGAACTCCTTCTTCCTACCCTCAGTAATGCCACTAACTCCGAGGGTCTTCAGCCAGTCCGGCCCTTGTAGGCCTTCCATCAGTCGAATGACCGAATCTCTCTCATGTTGAGCTCGGCTCTTGTCTGCGTTCCGCACAGCCTTCTCTTGGCGTTCTGGTCGTTTGTGAAGTGTCTTGAAGTGCTCCTCCGACAGAGGGTCCTCATCGCAATCCATGGGAGTAAATTCGGAAAAGTCCACCTTGTGTGTACCATGGAGATTGGTGAAGAGAGAGGATGGGTATTCTTTGACCGCATATTCGGTGTTGGATTCCTTCTTCTTGGAGGTACGCAGAGGTTTGGAAGAAGGTTTGGAGCTATCGATGATTATGATGGGCGTATCGACATCTAGGAAATCTGGAAAGGGGAGTCAGCTACAATTTGAAGCACCGATTCTCACAATAATAATAAAAACTCACGTTCTTCCTTGGGAACATTCCCAATAACTTCATCGTACTCTGGGAAATATGCAGACAATTCACTCTTGAATTTTGTCCCTTCTTGCGATCGAAGCTTCCGCCTTTCATCCTTCAAATCGGCCTTGTCCGCCTGTAGAAGCTTGTCCTGTAATCTATCCAGCTCGTGTTTGATGCCATTGGCAACTTTATTCTGGTGTTTTGTAGGAGGAGGTGGTGGTTGTTGTTGTTGTGAATTCTGGGATGGCGGATGTGCTGTTCGTACATCTGCTGTTGTTGCTATTTGTGGATGTTGCACGGAGTTCGCAGAGTCGGGGTTCGCGTTCGATTTGATGACGCCTGATCGTTTTCTTGGTGGAAGCGATTTTAATTTTGGAGCTGGTATCTCGATGGCGAGCTTTGATTTCTTCGCTTTGGATAATAGATGATCGTCGCTATCAGCAGATTCTCGTGCCCGTTTCCTGCCATTGATATTGGACTGGGAGTATGTGTGTGTATACGATCCAAGGTTGTGGTTGACGCCTGGAGCCATCGCGATTGTGTTTCCAGATGAACTTGTGAGAGCTTCAGATTTCCTTGTAGTTCTTCTGCTTAAAGACATTGAAGAATATGATGGTCGCAGATCATATTATGTGATTGAAAATAAAATTCAATGTGACTTCAAGTAAATATTAGGGTCTGGAGATGTGATGTCTGGTACGGTATGGGCAATAGCAAGCGACCAGGTCAACTTTGGGGACTTCTTCACACGCGCAGGGAAGGTACAATGTTATTGTACGGCAGAAAATAAATTTTCTATTGATCGCGAAAATATTATTTTTCTATTGTCTGGTATCTGGACCCAAAGATTAAGGAAAGGAGTATTTGAAGATTTTGACTTGATAAGATTCAATTGTTTTGTTCAATTCAATTCTATTCAATGCAATTTTTGAAGATGAATTATTATATTATCGATCGTCATTTCATCATTATGGGTAACACAGATTTATTTATAATCCGTACAGTACAGTACGTATAACGTAGTACACACCACTAGCATTTACGCACGCTAAAATTGAACCACCGTACATACTGAGGTATTATATATGTAGGTAAGAGGCTGTTTTAGATATTCATCGATATCTTTTAAAATAGACAAAACAAGCAGAACAATTAACAAACGGACTGTGCGATTGTGCTATATCGTGATGGCGCTTGTCATTACAAACTAAAAAGGGGGAAGGGGGCTAATAATACTTCTGTCAAACATATCTTGTGCTCGTGAGAAAAATACATATTCTTGGAAGAGGACAGTTGAGATAGAAGACTTCACAGAATGGTACTTGATTGGGGTCTAGTATTTATGACTTCTTCTATACACACATGAGGGTTTCAAAGAACTCGATATGGGAAATCTCAGAGACAAAGAGTCATGCTTGGACAATGCTATTGTTCTTGTCCAGATAAGTTCAAGAATCTATAGTAGCAGTCGCGGTTACAACTCAGAATGAGAACAGGTTCAGATCTCTGAGCTCTGTAGCAAGTCTTTGCTTGTACGGTCTGAACTTAATTTCTCGTCGTTGTAAGGTTATAGTAAGTTGGTAGCTATAGCTCAATGCTGTGAGTTTCTCCCACTCTAAAATGTAGTGTGACGGCGAGAAGAGCTTTCGAATAATCTGCAATCTTTCTCCTCAGTAACGTTGCTGCGGTTTCTACACATCAACAATCGCAGGTAATCATCTGATGAGATTGAACAGTTGAGTAAGCACGAGAACATCACACCGTCGAAAGCCGTAGCGGTCACCATTATGTGCAACGCGCATCCAGAGCAGTTGAGATCACTCCACAAAAGCATGTTGAGAAGTGTCGTTCATTTCACAATTGCAAGATTGTTAGCGCTTGACTGCTCAAGCTAGATACTTATATACGGTTATCTGGGTATATGACCTTTCCATTGTGAACTGGTCAAGACGAGAAGGGTGCGCTCACAGTTATTTATACGGACTTGATGTCCACAGCATTTCCAGCCATCCTCACATACACTACCATCATTATTTATGAAAACAATATTCTATTCTCTTCTATACCTACATAGGTACTCAGCTCTGCGCATTCATACTTCAACCCAGGTATCCGCAATATCCCATCCACATATTTTCTTCTACATTTATCAACCTCTATTTCAAGGTGAATCGTTATGTACAATTAATGAAACCCAAGTGCATCTTTCCAGCTACTAGACCTCTCCTATTCTCCCATTGAACGAAAGAAAAGGTTATTTGAAGTTCGTGCTAACGTTCTGTAATCGTGTCAGTCATGTTGAGTCTTTGGTCAAATTCAAGAATCTAAATTCAGACGAGACCAACATACCTATTATTTAAAAAGAATGATCTTCCAAAGAAAGTAAATGGCCCACCAGAATTCCCGAAAGCGTAGTCTACATATCAAAAAATAGAGGATGTCAAACAATTTGAGCTGACTTTATGGAGGAACGAATCGAAACTCAAGGCTCCATTTAGAACTTGAAGTGCAGAATGCGCGAACGAAAGAAGGCCAACACAGCCAAGAGCTCCAGATCAGTCTGCACTGTTTGATGGGAGGAACGGCAGGTTCGCTAAATACATATGACATTAATTCAGCTGAGTGAATATGAATGATCATACATTTGAGTACTTGAAGGAGAACAACTGAGAAATTTCAAATCTTGCTTTGATCGTCGGAAGGTAGCAACACCATTTCGTTATTCATCGCATATGTACGGGTATCACATTAAACTGCCCATGATAAGTGTGCTTGGGAAACAAGTGTTCAGACCCTCGGGGACGGTATTGCTCGCAGCGGTTTGAGAAGAGGATTTTAGAGAAATAAATGATTGACCCAAGATGTGCAATGAAAATGTCTTCAGAGGAGCTACTTCCCTTCGCCATGGAGGTGAGATTATGTACAGAAACTATGTATAGAAATTGACATGTGGTCACTTCACTGAGGGTTATTTATGATGCTGACGAGCGGGGCAGGATTCTACATGTTCCTGTACGCCAACGTATATCACCAACGCCATGATCTCACTAGCACACTATTGCAGAATAAATCATTAAAACGAATGAACTTTCACTTTCCACGGCCCCTTTCCACATACCGAAGTCACAGCTAGGTGCCCTTGATTTTCCTCGTCTTTCAACCTTACTGTCGTCGGGTCGGACTAAACGTATGGATCATCCTACAATCATAGATTTTCAAGCATTGAGAACTTTCATGTCTAACCGGCTTAAAAGCCGACGTGAAAGCAGTAACTCAGCCGGCGGGCCTGACAGTGACAAATGATGATGCAAATCCAATAAATATTTGGCTAAAGTTATTAGGCCAACTATAGCCTCAAAAGAGAAAAAGACTGTGAAGCGAAATATAGGAGCAAATAAAAGAATCCTAGACTTGCGTGGACAATAGCTGGGTCTTGGAGAGTTGTCATTGAGCCTCAGAAGACCATTTGAAGCAAGCTACAAAGTGCAGTCGAAATATCGGATGATTGGCTCTCCCCTTTCAGTTCTAGGATAGTAGGATGAGTATTAACAACTTGTTATTTCTCGACCAACGAATATGGAAGGCCAAGCACTCAAAGACTTGATATCAATTGATGAAACCTCGACGTTTTCCGTTGTGGCGTTGGTAAGATTAATTGTTGTATACTCAACTGCTGCGCAGACACTCCCTACCTGCTTTGTAATTTTCTTGTTTGATCCAACGGAGGGGTAGGTGATCAAACAGACGCATTGTTCCAGATTATGTAGGAAAGAATGTTATGAACTTATAAGACATACATTAGTGTTTAGCGCCATTCATTTCCGTGGCAAGTGGGAAGACAAAACCAATTTGCTGAGGATTTGAAACGATACGGAAAAAGGCCCCGGTGATCAATCGATAGTGTACAGAGTCTAATCAACACTTTCTTTTGGATGATAAGATTATGGATATGGACTCGGATTTTGAGAGAATTACTTTTCTTCACGGACGGGAAAACATCAATGGAGTTGTCAATGTAACCTTGAGGATGGATGGATTATGTGCCCGAATCGATATCACAATTGGACGGCTAATTTTTTATTGATTCGCAAGCCTTTTGATATCTAGGCTAGGATGTCAATGCAGATGCAGCACACACACAACGACACCATGTACGTAGATGCCGGCAAGGATTACCGGGACCGCACCTATTTAAGATGTAAGAGTTATCGAACATACTCACCGCACAGCATGAGGTTTTGTGACATAATCCCTGCAAAATTCATGTTTTCTTATATAAACTAAAATTTTATATAATTCATACAATTATTGATATTAATTTATAAAAACTTTATAATTAATAATTTGAATTATTATTTATATATAAAAATTTCGAATTTATTTTTAAATATTTTTATTAAAAAATTACATAAGCTTTTAATTGAAAAAGTTTAGAATTTTTAATTTGTAATGCTTTTCTTATACAAAATAAGCGAATTTTTCGAATTTTTTTGAATTTTCAATTTTAATCTTTCAAAAACATTATTATAAAAATATTTAAAAATAAATGATATATTTTTTTGAGTAATTTGAGTAATTTTAAATCTTTCTATAATACTATATTCAATTTTATTTAATATATTCATAAATAAATCAGGGTATAAAAAGCTGAATAATTATATATTTTAGCCGGAAAAGCGTTACATGTGCGGTGAGTAGGTTCCAGAACTCTTAGAAATCTTAATTCATATACAAACTCGAGACAGAGTGGCTTCCAGAGGGAGTAGGTAACCTTATTTACCTACCTAGGTAGTTATATAGGAAATTTCATGAATTTGGCGAACTAGTCGAATATCTCCCAAGTACGTACACCACCCACCAGCTACCTAGGAAGTATAGACAGGGAAACAAGCAAGCATGACCTATCACACCATAACCAGAAACATTTGAACGCATTGACTTTGGAACATGGAGAAAGTTATAGACTTGAGCACACCAGGCATTGTGAGACGAGACGAGGTCCCTGTCCTGTCCTTTGTAGAAAGAGTCCGATAGACTAGCAGATTAGCAGACTCGAGACTCGAGACTCGAGAGACAACAGGACTTTCTGTAACTTGAACATCCAAATAATTAATTAAATCATGACTAAGAATTACTACTCGCAGTTGAAAAAGAGAAAAGAGAGAGAGAGAGAGAGGGTCACACAAGCCGGGACCTTTGTAACATCTTCGCTCCAAAAGTCCCTCGGTCCTACAAACACTTTGTCTTCTTCTTTTTTCCTTTGTAGCTCTGCCACTTTACATTTATTTCCTTCTCACATCTTGTCTTGATCCATTCATTCGTTTGTGAATATTGACTTCGAAGATATACTACCACAGATCTCTTCTTTTCCTGGGCATCAGCACTCCTTCCACAAATCGAACATCAGCCGCTTTCGGGCGTCACCAAAGTCAACACCTCCCGCACATTTCTAAGCAAACATTCGGCATTCTGACATGACGAAACCCACTCCAGACTGAACAAATAATCCATAACGGATTATCCCCGGCGGAAGCAGGCCTTCTGTTATTAACCTTCCTTCTTCAAATACTTGTTAATTTTTAAGTTTGTTCCCCATTAATCAACTTGCTCATTCGATAAAGACCCTTGTCCGATGCGACCACCCACGGTTGATACATGCAGCTGACGGAACGCATAGTAATACGGAGTGCACCGATTATTCCGATACGATATTGATACATAAGTCTACCTACCCTCCCTGCTCCCAGCTGCTCCCAGCTTGTACAGCTGTAAACTGTAGAAATGGCTCCAAAATATTTGAAGGTTTCTACGGGAAGCACAGGCTCGAAGAGTCTTGCGACACCAACCGCGCACATGGCAACAACAACTGTGAAGGTTGGTGGCATGACATGCGGGGCGTGCACATCTGCGGTAGAATCAGGATTCAATGGTGTGGATGGCATTGGAAATGTATCAGTGAGCTTGGTAATGGAGAGAGCTGTAATTATTCACGACCCAGAAAGAATACCGGCCGAGAAAATACAAGAAATCATTGAGGATCGCGGTTTCGATGCAGAAGTCCTGGCTACGGATTTACCATCTCCCATGTTCGATAGAGATGAACACGACGACGATACCAACGACAATTCTGACGATGACGAGTCAAATGATGCGCCTATAACTACAACAACGTTGGCCGTAGAGGGAATGACATGCGGGGCTTGCACCTCAGCAGTGGAGGGGGGATTTACGAATGTTCCGGGAGTGAAGACTTTCAGTATATCGTTACTTTCAGAAAGGGCAGTGGTCGAGCACGACACTACGATATTGACTGCGGAACAAATTGCAGAAATCATTGAGGATAGAGGGTTCGGAGCAACCATTGTCGAATCAAATACAGCTACCCCTCCTTCACGAACACGTAAGTCGCGCCGCGACAGTACTTCGAAGAGAGAAAAGGTCGCCACTACTACTATTGCTATTGAGGGAATGACTTGCGGTGCTTGCACATCCGCGATTGAAGGTGGATTTCAGGATCTCGAGGGTCTTGTGCAGTTCAATGTCAGTTTACTTGCAGAGCGGGCCGTAGTTATTCATGACCCCTCCAAACTATCTGCTGAGAAGATTGCCGAGATTATCGAAGATAGAGGGTTCGATGCCAAGATTATATCCACACAATTGGGTTCCAGTCAACAGTCGGCAGCTACCACATCACAGTTCAAGTTATTTGGAGTAGCATCGGCTGCTGATGCGACCGCTTTGGAAACCAAACTTTTATCACTACCCGGTGTTAATTCTGTAACAATAAGTCTCGCCAAGAATCGGCTAACTATTTCTCATCAACCAAATCTCGCTGGGCTGCGAGCTCTCGTCGACCTCATCGAGTCTCAAGGTTACAATGCTTTGGTCGCTGATAATGACGACAATAACGCCCAACTTGAATCTCTTGCGAAGACTAGAGAGATAACTGAATGGCGTACCGCCTTCAGGACTTCTCTGAGCTTTGCTATTCCAGTCTTTTTGATCAGCATGGTATTTCCTATGCTAATCCCGTTTTTGGATTTTGGTAGTTATATTGTATTCTTCCCTGGATTGTATCTCGGTGATATCGTTTGTTTAATTCTCACGATACCCGTTCAATTCGGCATTGGAAAGCGTTTTTATGTTTCTGCATATAAATCTATGAAGCATGGTTCACCTACGATGGACGTATTGGTTGTTCTTGGAACATCTGCTGCTTTCTTTTTCAGTGTTGCAGCTATGATAGTTTCTGTTCTTCTTCCCCCTCACACTCGGCCAAGCACTATTTTTGACACAAGCAGTATGCTTATTACTTTTATCACTCTGGGCCGATTTCTTGAAAACCGAGCAAAGGGCCAGACCTCGAAAGCACTTTCTCGCCTTATGTCTCTGGCTCCGTCTATGGCAACCATTTATGCCGATCCAATCGCTGCAGAGAAAGCAGCTGAGGATTGGGATACCAAAGAATCAAAAGCCGATCACGCTCAGGAAGGAAATGCTACAGAGGAAAAGGTCATCCCCACTGAACTTATACAAGTTGGCGATATTGTAATTTTACGACCCGGTGATAAGATTCCTGCTGATGGTACTGTCACCCGAGGTGAGACTTACGTTGATGAAAGTATGATTACCGGCGAGGCGATGCCAGTATTGAAAAAGAAGGGAAGTCTACTCATTGGTGGTACAGTCAATGGTGCTGGTAGAGTCGACTTCCGTGTTACACGTGCTGGTCGAGACACTCAATTGAGTCAAATTGTGAAGTTGGTTCAGGACGCACAAACTACTCGGGCCCCAATTCAACGACTGGCTGATACCATTGCTGGCTACTTTGTTCCATTCATCCTTTGTCTCGGATTTCTTACATTCTCAATTTGGATGATCCTTAGCCATGTCCTGTCGCATCCACCAAAGATTTTCGTGGATGAAAAAAGTGGTGGAAAATTCATGGTTTGTGTTAAACTTTGTATCTCGGTCATCGTTTTTGCCTGTCCATGCGCTTTAGGTCTTGCAACTCCCACTGCTGTGATGGTAGGGACCGGTGTGGGTGCAGAAAATGGAATTTTGGTCAAAGGTGGTGCTGCTCTCGAGACGGCTACTAAGATAACACAAGTTGTCCTTGACAAAACTGGCACAATTACAGAGGGTAAAATGAGCGTTGCAAAGATCAACTTGGTTTCCGCCTGGAAGAACAATGAATCACGTAAGAGACTATGGTGGACAATCGTTGGCCTTTCCGAAATGGGCAGTGAACATCCTATCGGTAAAGCTATTCTCGCTGCTGCCAAGGAAGAACTTGGAGTCGGCCCTGAAGGCACTATTGATGGGAGCATTGGCGATTTCGAAGCTGCCGTTGGTAATGGAATCAGCGCTTTAGTCGAGCCTGCTGTTAGCAATGAACGTACTCGTCACAGAATCTTAGTCGGCAATGTTCGCTACCTAACAAACAATAATGTATCTGTACCCCAAGATGCCATTGAGTCTTCTGAGGAAGCAAATGTCAAAGCTGCTGGATCATCTAAAACTTCATCAGCAGGTACAACCAATATCTTCATCGCTATTGACGGATCTTATTCTGGCCACTTGTGTCTTGCGGACACCGTGAAAGATAGCGCCGTCGCAGCTATCGCCGCACTTCATCGTATGGGTATCAAAACTGCAATTGTCACAGGTGATCAACGTCCAACCGCTCTTGCAGTTGCACGTATCGTCGGAATACCACCAAAAAATGTTCACGCTGGAGTTACCCCTGATCAAAAGCAGGATATCATTCGCAAGCTCCAATCTCGTGGAGAATGTGTTGCAATGGTAGGAGATGGAATCAACGATTCTCCTGCTCTTGCCACAGCAGATGTTGGCATTGCTATGGCAGGAGGTACTGATGTAGCTATGGAAGCAGCAGACGTTGTTCTCATGAGACCAAATGATCTTATGGATATTCCTGCGTCTATTCAACTTGCCAGATCGATTTTCAATCGTATCAAGCTTAATTTGGCTTGGGCATGCGGTTATAACATCGTTGGTCTTCCGTTTGCCATGGGCATCTTCCTTCCTTTCGGACTACATCTACACCCAATGGCAGCAGGTGCAGCAATGGCTTTCAGTAGTGTGAGTGTAGTATGCAGTAGTTTGCTATTGAAGACTTGGAAAAGACCTAGGTGGATGGAAGATGCTTTGTTGGAAGAAAAGGGACAACTGAGAAAGAGAGGTCAAGGTTGGGGTTTCGGAGGCTGGAGTGGAAAGGTTACGGATGCTTATAGAGCTGTTGTTGGAAGGGGCAGAGGTGATGAAGGGGGTTATGTTCCTTTAAATACTCTGGAACCTGTATAGGTTAGAGTTGGATATTGAATTGAATGGAAGAGTATTGGATTTAATTTGTTATTGCGAGATATCCTCTTTTGGTGTTGGGGCGTTATTACGAGTTTACCAGCGAAACGTATTCGTTATGAGTTATAGGATGGTTAAAGCGTTTCACTATTCTGTGTATAGTACAATTCTAGTTTCCTTCCTGGTCTAGACCTAGACGTGTCAAAAATATAAGAGAAACCCAATCAGCACAAGATAAGATCCGAAGTACTATGATAATAAAGACTGATTCCTCATTCTCTCACACACTTGCATGCTTCATCTAGCATTGATGAATATCGCAATGTGACCGTAGTTCCAAACGAAAAAGCAAAAATTTCCCAATCAAGATGTATTGCAATCTTGACCTCCATTCCACCATCTAAAAACAGGCAATAGCATCCAAGTTTTCATCCCGAATAGAGTATCATCGTGCTATGTATCACCCAGCAACTAGCAACTACGGACATCCGGATTCTCTCACATTGATTACCTTGATGGATTATCAATCCTCTCTATTGTAAATTTGTAAGATTAATTCTTTTCAAAAGCGAGATACGTAGTGTTAGGATATTAGTCTTATGCGTGTAAATATGGTACCCCATACAATTTGTATTTAGCTATTCAGATTCCCGAGGTTTGGTAGTGAGAAAATTGTACTTTGGGAGATAGAGGAGGTATGGGGCTCATAGCGGCTTCACCTATTTGTAATTGGTGAGTTGATACCTAGGTACTCACTTCTTATGTGTGTGTATTGGTGATGAGGTGTACGCACGAGAAGATTTTAGCGAGTCTCTCTGGAAGTTTGACGGTGCTCGATTGCATTTCCTCAATTTTATCTATGAGAAGCTTTGTTGTTATGGTAATTAGATGATTTACTTGACATTTCATAATACATATTTGCCAATTCGAAAGTTTGTAATTGGAGTTGAATTGGAAAGATTGAGTTACAGAATTTGCTAGCTATGCTATATAAATCTTTCGAGTTGCACCCTCGTATTTCCTCTCCCCTGATATATACCTCTTGTCTCTAGCTGCCTTATATACTACCAATACACAATCTTGGGATTCTCATCGAGAAATGCCTAATTCTGCGTCACCGGTTTCATTTATTTACTACCTTTCTCGACATCGATATCAACATTCTCTCGACTCCCCACTGCTTCAGGTGTAACCCCTCCACTAGCATTACTACCTACTGCTGTCTCTGCGTCAGCCTCCCCATCCTCAACTTTGATATTCCTCTCCGGAAATAACTCATCATCCCCTTCAACACTCCACTCTCTCCATTCCCCCTTGAAGCCCCTCATCCACTCCCACCTAACTTCTCCCGCACCTTCTTTACCTTTCAACGGCATCCCTCCCAACCCCCCTTTCCTGAAATCTCCCTGCATCTTTGTTCGGTTCGGAACGATAAACCTCCTATCCACCCTCATGACCGCAAATAAGAAAAGCACCACAATATCAATCCCAAAATCAAAGATATAAAAACATGCTTTACCATGATACCACGCGGGATCATCGATGGCTCTCGGTACATATGCCGTCCCTGCTCTGAAAGCCGCTCCGAGAGTAAGCAGGACCGATGTTCCCAGTACCAATCGAATTTTCGTTCTCAATTTCCCGGTCCCAAATTTTTCCACCTGGTTCCGAGGGAGAAGCAGCCGTAAGGCCAGGAGTGGAATTGGAGCGAATGCGAAGATGGCAAAATACGTATTAACAACCAATACTATAACCCGATCGGTCCACAAAATATGTGGATCTAGTGTAAAGAAATTCTCGACAAGAACCGATATATTTATGATCAATCCTGCGAACAGACTCACATACCCTACGCGAAAACAAGTCCGGACCGAATGTTTCCATGCCCACGGATGATATGCCCTCAATAATCGACTTGTGAAAATGATATTGATGAGGTATAACAATATTGTGCCTGCAGCGACGAAAACTTGAGCCGCGAGCGCGAGACGGATGTTGGAGGGGTAGGATGCCCAGATGATACGAAGAGCGCAGGTTATGACGCGGGAAAAGGAAAAGCCGAATGCCATGCCAGACATGAGGAATTTTTGGCCGCGGCGGAAGTTTATTTGGAGGAGGGACATGTGGATGATGGAGGAGAGGAGGAAGAGGAGCATAAATATTGTGGTGAGGGGTGTATCGATTGGGTGGGTGGGTGTGAGGCCTACGACGGCGGATTTTGGGGGGTAGGGTGGTGACATCTTGATGGTGTGTTAGTTTTGTATTTGGTGGTCAGAAGGGAGATTGTGTAGAAGTGGCAGGAGGAGGAGAGAAGGAGGATAACTTTGGGGGAAATGATTGATGAGAGGGACATATAAGGGTAAGAAGGGGAGTGAACTTACATTCATAGTATTTGAGGCAATTTGGCTTCTCAATTGACGAGGAAAGAAATCTCCACGTGGTTTACACAACGAGTCGATTCTTTCAGACCTCTTTCCTCAGAAACGTTCTGTCGGATTCTATCGTTCCGACGACACGACAATCACATACGCTCTTACAGCAATGGAAGTGAAATACGTTTTATGAGTCCAAGCTCATATTTCAAACTTCACCTTCACTTCACCGACAGACAAGATGATAAAAAAGCAGAGATGAAAGAAAACTTGCAGACTCTTTAATCTAAAGTAGCACAAGGTCGAAAGAATGTCATGAAGCGGAACTACCACATCTTATAAGATACGCCAGCTCCTGGATAAGATATTGAATCTGTCTGGTAGTAATCTTTGGTTGCCTTGCACCTCGATACACAACATTCGATATTTTTGTAGCCATCTTTCGTACCGTGTCAATCCTCCAACCAGGAAACGAAATTCAAGACTAAAGATACATCAGTCCGCAATTATAAATCTAATTGCCATTTCCACATTCACCTCCGCTGGAGTTCCCCTACCTAGATGCCGTCTGCAACTCGAGCTCAGCCTCGATCCTCACCATATAGCTGTTGCCATATAGCTGTTGGTCATATTATCATTCCCAACCAACAGTGAATACAACAAAGAAATCGGAATTTCGCTCTTACCGATGACCGATTTTCATATATATTTTTATACTTCACCACAGGACTGTTAGGTCTTGATTGGTTTGTCCCGTTTTCTCCACGAGACGATTTCATGTTGTCCATTTTCATCCTATTTCTTACAGCTAGAACCAGGGGTCAGGCGAAAAATAGATCCCGAGTACCGACACCTACTTCATACACTCTTCCCGATACCCCCGCTCACGCCGCTGAATATTAAGCATTGGGGCGTTCAAATTAAGCCATCATCTGAAAAATCAAAGATCTACGTAAAAAGCCCTGGCTGAATGAGCAAAAGCTTTAGTTACTAGGTATGCAGATTGATTTTCGTGAGGAGGCGTTCTTGTGCGAGGGTTGAAGCATTTGCCAGCTATCTTGTATCGTTTTGCATCTGCTGTGCTAAGGTTACATCGCTAATGTTGGGCTCCACTGATACGAATACCGAAATATCTTGGAAGTGGTAAGGTCAGGATTTGACGAAGTACAAAAGGGGGAATTTGGAGGTATCGGACACGGCTGTGACTGTATGTGGCATATTTAGCCCCAGGACCCAGAGGCCACCGAGTCCAGTTGGTGAGTATATAAGCCAACTAAGACTACAAACTAGAGAGGTATCCTTTACGATTTGGCCTATATCAGTAGATGAGGGTTGGAGATTTGGTCCTGAAATTCTTGAGCATTGAATCGGGAATAGAGAGACAATTTGCCCCAGATACTTGTTACTTGCTCAATCTCGCCGGTGATAAGTAGATATACGTTTAGTGCTGACTCCCAAACAATTGCGATATACCTCTGAATACCTGTGACTATGTATATTCAGACCCCGAGGCTAAACGTACTCACCTCCATGTGACTAAGGTTGGGTTTCATACCCAAAGGCCTACTAGACTGTGGTAGCTGTTGCAGAGAGTCAAATTCGCAGGCATACTTAGGTTTCTCGGCTAGAAATTGGTGTGATATTTGTAAATTGGCTATCCGACGGACTAGCAGACGACTAGCAGTCAAGGTTCGAGCTGGCTACCGGTTGAACCAATTCTGTTAGGGACATTTGCGATGAAGAACATAACAAGCATGTGGAAGCTGATTCTTTGAAAGGATAGTTGTTCTAAGTCCAAATGCTTCAAAGACTATTGATACCTATCGAGAGAGATATATGCTATATTGAGGCTGTTTGAAAAAGACAATGCTTTTGAGAAGGAAGCATATGCTTAGCGATATCTCCCCCTTAATCGATGATTTATGTTTGCCGATAAGGTTAAGATAAGATATCCTGACATCTCGGGACTAGATTGCTGTTTGGCTTGGACGTCGAGATTAGAAATCCAATCCGCGATTCAAGGGAAGTGAGGTGTATTGAGGACGCAGCGAAATGATAGTCTGGTAACTATGGCTACATTTTTGTTTGCCTACTGATAATCTCTAGATGAGGGAGCACACACCGGTATAATAATCAGGATCATTCCATGATTGAGAGGCACTCTTCTATTGATATAGAACATCCAATTTGGACCCAGAGACGATTTGGTTGAATGTCAAGAGTTCGATAGCCATGATAGAGAAGAAGTATGAAACTATAGAAGCTGAAATATGCTGTACGACTTTGGGTTGGTCGGCATCCCTTACTTCTTGAGCTTGGAGGGAATCTCGTGGGAGTGCTGGCTGATGGCAGAATAAAGGCGGTGTACGTTGCCGTTTTGACTTATGACGTTTTTAGCCTGTATCCTTGCACTATTTTATGCACCCAGGCGCTCCAAGCACAAACCAAAATGCGACAAGCTCCATCTACTACAGGACATGACTTCTAAACATCCGTACATGCGAATTTGATTGATATGATTATAAGTTTGAATATAACTTCACTCCTTTCGAAACCTCAATCGATCTACAATTCCGAGCAAAATGGCAAGTCCGGCTGGGAAACGCGGACCATCAGTCTTGGTATGAGCCAAACCAACACTAAATTCCAGTTGATAGTTGATGATTACATTTTTGCTAATTTTGTCTCAGGTTACTGATTCTCGGGAACGACAACGCCCTTCCACAGCACGAAATAATCCTCAACGACCAAATGCCAATGGCTCGAATGCGCCTAGACCAACAAGATTCATATCAGTAGATAATGTTTTACAATACGCTTCTCAAATCCCATCAGGTCAAGCTCGAGGGCCACCGGCCGGACGAAGACCTCAGGCTCTAGATCAACGTCGCGCAAATGGTCCCATATCTGCTCGCATTGCACAGCAGAATGTTCCAGGTCGGAGTACAAAAATTAGCGAGAAATTGGTATTGATTCCAGATACGGTGGATGAAAAGGATGATTCAGAAACGGAAGAGATTATTGGGGCCGGAAACCAACAGCGACTTGATGGTGGTGGGGGACCTCCCACAGATGCTGAAAGGGACATTTTGAAGAAAAGAGGTGGTATCAGAGGAAAGAGTTACGCGGAACGTTTACCCAAAGCGAGGAGAGCAAACGAATTGGCTAGAGTTACTGCGTATTGCACGGCACAAGCATATAAAACAAAGGCCACGGCAGCTTTCGTCAAGGAGCGACACGGAGCCAAGACAAAGTTATACGATGATTGTCTCTATACAGTTTACCATTTACCTTTATTACCAGGTACCGAAGGATTCAGAGTACGAAGTAGTCCGGTTTTGAAAAGTCCAGGTGGAAAAGCAGTACTAGATGAAGAGATAGAAAGGAGTGAGAATCGAGATTATCATGAAGGGTATTTCGAGGATACAGATACATACGGTGTAAGGGGGGGAGAAGATAGTCCACGAAATGAAACCGACGAAGAAAGAATCATAAGGGAAGAAGGAGCCCGAAGAGGCAGAGAGGAAACCCATATCTTTGAACAAGGCAAAAGAGCCGACAGTCCAAATCGAGTCGCGCCGGATGCGAAAACCTTTGCAGAAATGTTTGTCTTCTCGTATGGAGTGGTGGTATTTTGGAATTTCACCGAGCATCAGGAAAAGGATATCCTTGCAGACTTGACGTTTGCTGCACACAACACAGATGTATCACTTGTTGTCCGACCTCAAGAGGAAGAAGATCTCGAAACAGAGGAGCTTCACTTTGAGTACAATTCCTTCGTTGATAGACCACGAATCTTCAATGATATGATAACCTTAAGGAGTGGTGATCATATGATTAAGCTAGCAATGAGTCATGCTATTGCTCAAAGTACGAAATTGAGTTTCTTTGAGGAGCGAATGTCGCAGACTATGCTAAGCGCAGAACATATTCCTAAGCACTTGGCCTTGACGGGCCAACTTGGTATGTCACGTACGGAGATTCTCAAGATTCTTGGACGTCTCTTCAAAAGTAGGGTAGATGTCAATCTTTGTAAGTTATTGCATATGCTTTTCGCTTAGGTTCTTGCTAACATTCTCAAGCATCAAATATCCTCGACGTACCCAGTTTCTTTTGGGATTCCGAACCCACTTTACATCCACTTTACGAAGCCATTCGAGAGTATCTCGAAATCGGTCCCCGTATCACGACACTCAATGAGCGCTGTCGCGTTTTCTTGGACTTAGCAGAAGTTTTAAGTGACAGTATCGCAGATACAAAAATGAGCACAATCACATGGATTGTCATCATCTTGATCATCATTAGTATAGCAGTGACAGTCACAGAAGTAGGGTTAAGATTCATTATATTGGAAAAAGCGGGCGCAAGTGGTGGAAATTCTGCAGCGGGAATGGCTCTTATGGATAGAAATTGGTCGAGATTTGATTTTAGTAAGCCTCAGCTGGAAGCCATTTGTGGAGTGGGACACACGATTACGGAGCTTTGAACTGAGGACTCAGGAGATGTTAATATTGGATGTGGGGTAAATACTTTGTTCTTTTTGTATACTGGAAGGCTTGGCGCGGGTATTGGGAACGGTGTCAAGTGTGTATAGAGTAGCTGTATATAATGTGCTTGTAAATATTGCTTAATGACAGCCAGCGTTCATATTAATTATAATCGAGAAGACCAGATGGAATTTTGCTAAAAACTTTGCTATGAACTCTCGTAATGAGCATTCATTGCGTGATGTTTTTGGAAGCTCAAGTCTCGCTTATAAGTTGATTAGTTGCAAGTAGACAAGGTCGTTCTTGTTTGGTTAACTTATGATTTGAATGGACTCCTATCTTTGATGGTTAGATTTAATTGGATGCATGTTTTGATCGCTTAGTTCCCAAGCGGCGTTCCCAGAGACACTAGTCGTGAGTTTGTAGAAATTTTGGTCTTCATAAGGATCTCGATGGTATCCCGTCGTCGTTTTGTCGGTAATCAGTTTTCTCTCGCTGATTGTTGTTTTGTTCTATGGTAAATTACTCTCGTGGCACTAAAAGTCCAAAACAACACTCTCATACCACTAAGATTCATATATTTTTACTCTCATATCACTTAGATTCTAGCATCCATGTTAAACCTGATTCTATATAGATTCTATGCTTTCGATCCTAGCTTTCAACTATATATTCTAGCCCTCTTTTATAACTGCTAGCCTTTAATTATAAATTACAATTTAAACTAGAGATTCCAACTTTTAGATCACATATTCTAGTCTAAAAACTACAGAATCTAGCTATTGTAGAATCTTACTTGCGTGAGAGTAGATAAATTCACTTTTAGTGGCATGAGAGTAATTCACCGTTTATT